CCCTCTCTCAGCAACCCCATCCCTCTCTGCACAACCCATCCCTCTCACAACCCATCCTCCTCCTCACAACCCATCCCTACAGCCCATCCCTCTCACAACCCATCCTCCTACAACACATCCCTCTCACAACCCATCCCTCCACAGCCCATCCCTCTGCCAACCCATCCCTCCTCACAGCCCATCCCTCTCTGGCTGTACCCATCCCTCCTCACAACCCATCCCTCTCACAACCCATCCCTCTCACAACCCATCCCTCCACAACCCATCCCTCTACAACACATCCCTCACAACCCATCCTCCTCTACAGCCCATCCCTCCTACAGCCCATCCCTCTCACAACCCATCCCTCTCTACAACACATCCCTCCTCTACAACCCATCCCTCTCACAGCCCATCCCTCTCACAACCCATCCTCCTCACACAACCCATCCCTCTCACAACACATCCCTCTCACAACCCATCCCTCCTCACAGCCCATCCCTCCTACAACCCATCCCTCTCACAGCCCATCCCTCCTCACAGCTCATCCCTCTCACAACCCATCCCTCTCACAGCCCATCCCTCCTCACAACCCATCCCTCCTCACAACCCATCCCTCTCACAGCCCATCCCTCTCACAGCCCATCCCTCTCACAGCCCATCCCCACAGCCCATCCCCTCTCTCACAACCCATCCCTCCCACAACCCATCCCTCTCTCACAACCCATCCCTCCTGGCCAACCCATCCCTCTCACACAACACACACATCCCTCCTCACAACCCATCCCTCTCACAGCCCATCCCTCCTCACAACCCATCCCTCCTTTCACAACACATCCCTCTCACAGCCCATCCCTCTCACAACCCATCCTTCAATAGCTCCATCCCTTCACAACCCATCCCTCTCTCACAGCCCATCCTCTCATTAACCCATCCCTCATACATACCCCTGACCTACAGTATTAGTGTGTTGCAGTCCATCACGTAAGTCTGTCTGAGTGCTAGGGATTAGTTCAGTCACTTGTATGAAAGCTACCGTGTGTGAGGGTTAACAAATACTCATTTCACGACCTCAGTGGCGTTTGTTCGATCTCCACTTAAGAGTACTACAGGAAATGCGACCATTTAAAACCCATATATTACAAGATACAAGTCCTGTAATGACAATGTAAATAAACTCTCATTTTAGAAGGAGTGTGTGTGTGTGTGTGATTTCTTCAAACCCTCAGCCTGGAAAATTCGATCCTGAGACTTGAATGACACCTTGGGGAGGGAGGGAGAGGCACTTCATCCTACTGAATTTATCGTGGGAGTATAATATGCCTCATGGGAGCCTCATCGTGGTGAATTTATCGTCAGAGTCTCAATTTTCCTGGTAATTGGAGGATTTTATTTTTATTTTTTTATTTTTGTTTAAATGGAAAGGATTTAATTATTAATGTACCAAGAATAGTATTAAAGGTACCTAGTCCAGGTGAGATTATTAGGAGTGCCTGAGCCACGTGAGATTAGCAAGGGTACCGAGTGTAGGTTTAAGGTAAGGGAGTGTATTCGTGGTATCGGACACAAGCCAAAATCAACAACCGTGAGTCTGTCAGTGTGTGTCCCAAAGTTTCATAAAATCAGTGAAATGAAATAAGCATCGTATTAAGAGACGATAAATATTGATACTTACACAGGTATAGCAAGTGCAAAAGTTTCTAACTTACTGTATAAACAAACTTAATTTACATTTCTTACAGTAATTAATCTCACGTAAATCAAAATTCTTATTAATTTGATATATTGAGCAAAAAAAGGATATCACTTAATATATATAATTTCAGTAATATAATCAGGTTAATATGTATCTATAAAGTCATCTATTACGTTACATTTAAAACTGTATTGATGTCTGTAATTCTAGTGGAAAAAATAAGTAGGTGGGTTTGGCAGCTTTCAGGAGATTATCGGATCAGCTGATTTTTTTTTATTTACGTGGCGGCACGCGAGAGAGGTGGGTGATACATGATCGTGTGGCAGTGAGTGTGATTTTTACATTAGTATAGTGAGTCAAGGCTTTGGTCCATAAACTTACGAGTCATTGCTAATTCATACTTACTGTATTTTCATTTTGTAAGTAATCCTTCATAATGCCTCCAGTTTTACGACTATGAAACAAAAATTCACGAGGCATTTTTGGGGGCATTCAGGAATATTATATATACGTTACGCATAAATAAAACTTTAATACTCAGAAATAAGAATTAATGGTTTTTGTATTTTGCATTATAGTTTATTTTACCATTAGGCGAGATGCACTCTATTATGGTGAAAGGCAAAGAGGAACGGTGCAAATTACTCTAGAGTGTGTTTCACCATCAAGCACCGTGCACTCTAGAGCTTAGCCCACCTAGAGTGGTTGACGCCTGCTACACCGGCACCAAGCCTTTCCCCCCTGACACCCGCCCGCCCGCCCTGTCCCCTACCCGCCGGCCCTGTCACCCACCCGCCCGCCCGTCACTTATTCTTGGTCGCTATATTTTCACACATTCCTGACTTCGCCGGACCACCGCGATGTGGTTACCGTCTCCACGCTCCTGAGCATCTCCACACCCTGGAGCATCTCCACACCCTGAAAGCACCTCCACACCCTGAGCACCTCCACACCCCTGAGCACCTCCACACCCTGAGCACCTATTTCTTCCTTGAATTCCACTAAAACTACCGGTAGTGCCAGAAGCTCGAAGTCATCTCAACAAGCTATTGGTACTCCCAAGGTCAATAGGAATTCTATGAGGAATTTAGATATTTTTTAATGGTCTGTAGAACCTCATTACCATTAGTTACTTGGGGGAGTTAATGTTCGTGTGTTTTATGTCTCACCTTAGCGACAGGGCGTTGTGTGTGTTTGTTTTAGTCTGTGTGGTTAAAATCGTTCACCTAGTTGTGGGTGTGTATGTTTGACTGCTGGTTTTATGTGGTTGTCAAAAGATTTACTATAGGGTTTTGGGTGGTGTACTATTCTTAAGTCTCTGATGGCCGAGAGTTGAGAAAGCTGAATAAGTGATGGTCTCTTGCTGTAGGTCGTGTGGAGGGGAGGTGTACTGTCCCTCACATAACCGAACCTAATCTAACCTAACCTAACCTAACCTAACCTAACCTAACCTAACCTAACCTAATCTAAAGAAATTTATCATCTTGGTACAACTCATTAGTATTTTGTTAATATTTAAGATAAAGGTTTTAAAGTATTGCAGGAATATACGTGTTTGTGGCAGCTTTCAAGATAGAGGTTAGTAAGAGTTGAGAAACCAGGGTGGCCGAGGCTGTCAACACAAACAGGGCTCATAAAAGGTGGGGGGAGGAGCCAGAGATACTTAGGAGTGAAGGATAAAGAGTGGTGAAGTAATACCAGACCCGGCAGTACCACACCACCTCACTCAACTACTTGTTAGGATCAGTCCAGAGGGTCTGTCAACATCATCTATGCAGAGATTAATGGCTGGCTTCCTTTACTACACTAGGGGGAGTTTTAGACTAAGCTACACAGTGTTTAGTAATATCTGGAAGAGTTAAGTTCTCATCTTCAGTATGTCCTTATGTAAGAGGATTTTCAATTTAATGTAACTTAATTCTGGGGTAGACAGTATACCGTTTGAGCAGTGGTGTGTTATGTTTCAGGCCTGCCCAAGGTATGGCCCCGAGGACTGTTGAAAGTAACTCGCTAGACTGTGGTGAAATAACATAATAGGAAATGTTTTTGTGGGTGACTATTTGAGGCGGATTTGGTCGATACTGTAGATGATATTTTTATTTAGTTATTGTGTATCTGTGTGTTGTAGTGTAGGTAAGGACCATTCAGGAGTCTGTTTACAGGTTGTGTTAGTACAGTGGTCGGGTCAGGAAGATTATCAATTGTTCACCTCACGAGACTCTATCGTAACATACCTTCAGGATTTTATGATTGGTATTACTTGTGTGTGTGTGTGTGTGTGTGTTCCAACCTGTTACCCCCTGACGCTCTACACTTACCAAACCGGAAAACAGACATGCTGTATCTTATCATCAGCAACAGGTAATGGCGTCATGCAGTAAGGAGCCTTGGGGGAAACTTTATGATACTTGAAGCAGAAATATTTGTAAAGGTCTTTTAATTTCGTTACTTTTCATTACTTTTTTATTAATAAGTATTGTAAGATGGAGGGAGGAGGGTGGGGGGTCTGTGAGTCTTGAAATATGACTGCACAATGGAAGGGGTGGTGGCGGGGGGTGGTCTTTAAACCCAAGTGATTCCCAAGTGGTCCCCATTTCCTCATCTACCTCAGGTAAGACCCCTTGGCTGTATCCATCATCCACACTACCGAGCCTACAGGGGTGTGGGAACCTACTTCACTCACTGTGTGCCTGAAGGGTGGAGGGAAGGTAAATTACTTTAACATATGTCCTTTCACTTCCGTTCTGGTTAAAAATGTATTATTATTATTATTATTATTATTATTATTATTATTATTATTATTATTATTATTATTGTTGTTGTAGTTAATTTTATATCTGTTGTTATTGCAGATGTATAATATAAATCACCTGGGTAATGTATTCAAATATTGCAATACTAACCTGACCTACCCCCCTCCCCCAGGTAGTGTTAGGGTGGTTAATCATCTGGTGAAATAAGCTGGAGTTCCTAATCTACAGGTGATCCACAAAAAAAAATAAATTACAGGTACAAACACCCACAAAAGTCGTGTGCCCTCTCTTGAACTATGAACTGAGATTCAGAGTCGTGAATCAGAAGCATCTATGGACTGCTTCGGGTTCACGATTCTGTTTATCATTCCTGAAACAGCTAGAGAGGCAACAGGACTTGTGGGTGAGTACTGTATGTTATATCTTTTAAATGCCTTCTCTGAATACTGTCACCATTAATCTGTTTGGGTATTATTTTCGTTTTCATCTTGGGAATTAGTTACGTTAGGTTGGATGTCTAAATATAGGGATGGCTGAAACTAAAATAATACCAATTTTATTGATGGAAGTTCTACCCTTGTGATTTAACGAGAGGTTGGCGCGCGATGACTAAAATCTGGCGTCGTGTTGCAGACTGGTGCTGAGCTGCGGCGAGTAACCTGGTGTTGGCGGTGGTCTGCTTCCTGGGATGGTGGCGTCGCTCATGATGGGTTCCAACACCACCAACACGCTCCTCCAGCAGCAGCCGCCCTTACCCCGCCTCACACACCACCACAGTAACGCGTCAAAAGATCTCGATGCTTCTGATTTATCCACCACCCAGCACTACCTCAATGTACGTGACTCAAATCTACAAGAAAACTCCAATCAACTCTACCAGAAAGATAAGTCACATAACAATAGTCTCAAGATGCAAGATGGTGAGAGGAAAGAAACAGAGGATAATGTTTCTCAGATTAAGGAGGAAACAGAGATCATAGAAGAGACTAAGGAACAGGAGGAGAATGTCAGCAGACGTCAGGAGCTTTATCAACTACAAGGTCAGGAGCAGGAGGAAGAAGAAGGTTGGGAGGCTGGAGAATGGCCTGGTTCAGATGCGTTGTGTCAGGGAGCAGCCTTCTTCATCAACTTGGTCACTGCTGGGTCGGCCATCACAGTAGCCATCATTGCTTTAGACAGGTGGGTGAGCAGGTCTTTGTATCAGAAAGTATAATATTGAAGTTTTTCTTATATTGTGATGTTACTGTATTGAGTAGCTGGCTGTTCTACATTCATAAATCATATTGTTAATTTACTCTCATAGGCTGTACTGTATTATTTTATTCAATTCAGGACAGTGTATAAGTTGAGGAAAGGGACGTCGCTATTTCTTGATTAGAATGTGTGTGGGTGTTTTAAGTATGCACGTGTGGGTATTTTAAGTATGCATGTGTGGGTATTTCAAGGATGCATGTGTGGGTATTTCAAGTATACATATGTGGGTATTTCAAGTATGCATGTGTGAGCAGGTAATATACACTGCAGTCATACTAAAGTTTGCAAATTCATCTTGTATTTATGGAAAGGCAGTACAGCAATTAATGGTACTTTATGCAACATGGACACTAGGAACATGATAAATTTCTATTGTTTTAAGTTGTCCTTGTTATCACAGGTACTTGGCCATCGTTCGACCAATGGTGTACGGGCTGATGGTGACTGGTAATAGGTGTTTGCTGATGCTGGCCTGGTGTTGGGTACAGGCACTGCTAACAGCCCTTCCGCCTCTCCTGGGATGGGCCAGGTACATAACTTTTTATTTTTCTTGTCATTTAAGTTAAGAATCATCATTATTCTTGTGAACTGTTAATGTTCTTTTGTGTCGAGATTCCCCAAGTGTGAAGTAACTTTGATATAATATTGTTAAAGTGTATAGACGTCATTCATCCACACGTGGCAGATCTTGCCATTCATTTTTTAACTATTTCTCAACTTGTCTTTATTTTAATTATTCATCATGATTGTGTTCTGTGAGAAGTTGTGATTTTGATTTAGATATTATCAATACAGTAAGCAGGTGTGGTCAGCATTCCATTAAATCCAGATATGAAGAATGTTATAATCTCTAACTAGATCTTGAGGATTTTCCCATATTTCCCCCCATCCACAAGTCTTAATCAGGTGTCCCTATTTCCTGTTACAATCTTCACCTGTTATATCATTATTAATAGTAAGAGTAAGATACCCGTACTGTGTTGTAATGTAACATTACTGCGCTCACCTAAATGACACAACACAGCCACATACATTAGGAGGTCTTCAGGTTCCAATGGGACAATATAGCTGTTTATTTATACTGTAGCTGTGTGCCATGAGGTGGGTGATGACATAGTGTACTGTATTGTCAACCACTGTATCTAGGGGATGGTAGGGATTAGTCGATCTATTTCCTATACAGTTGAAAAATACAGTATCTAAGGATATTCTTGTGGGGATATTTCTTGTTTTGGGGTCTTGAGGAGGACCACAAGTGATTCATTATATCATCTATATGCCATGTTACTCTCAATAGACATCACAATTAATTTCATTTGTAAGTTTTTGAAACGTATTTTATAACCATGATAGACCAACCGCCCAAATGGCTAATAAGCTGATAAGTGGTTAAAGAAATGGAATAGCGTGACACTTTAGCCATAAAGTATAGGGGGTCAAGTCCCCAGATCTCACGACTGTCCTTCACCCCTTTGAAAAGATCCTTTTTGGAGTGTGTGTTCTCGCTGCCTGTTTATACATTAAGGACAGCTGAGTGTTACTTGAGGTTTTGGAACTTATACATGGTGTTTGTTCTGCCATGTAGCTTTACGTCTTAGCTACACACTACAGTACGGGTATTCTTTTAGAATTGTAAGATCCGATTTTGACTGGAAGGGCAATTACACTGTATTCTGTCCCAAGGATTAATAAGCTTGTTAAATTACAGGTCACTTTCTGTCGTAAAGTGGAAGGACAGAAGTCAATCCTCCGTTCTTGTGTTGGCAGGTATGAGCATCGAGGACCTGAGGGACGGTGTGGGGTGGCGTGGAGCAGCTCCCCCTCATACACCGCTGTCTGGGTCATCACTGTTTTTCTCACTCCTGTCATTATTATGCTTGTCTGCTACTATTTTATTCTTCAGGTTAGTTTCCTTATTTCGTCATGGTTGGCATTGGAAATACAGTGTCACCTTTATCAAATTTTATGAGTCGGTACTATTCCTTCATACACAGTACTGTCTACATCAAGGTCTCATCCAACATGGGTTTACACAACACAGATGTGATTACTGTATACTGTACACTAAATAAAATGCAGTGGTTGATGTAGTTTTCTGGACAACTGGCCAAGCACAGCACACAAACACTAGCCATGATGTTTCTCACTAGTTGCTGGTGCCCATTACCCCTCAGTCTGCCTCACACCACAGCAAGGTTGTGTCCATCTGCCCACTTTTCCTGTCCAGGAACTACTGTACAGTATGTTGCTATTTTCCCGAGTGCCCTTCACTGCAGTACAACACTGAAATATAAAGACTCTACAGTTCTTTTCAAGTAATGGTGCAGGCAAGCGAAGAAAGGAAGATTATGACACTAGCAGAGAAAATAATTATTTTAAACAAGCTCCATGCAGATGTCAGTGTGGCAGCTCACAGCAAGGAATACAATGTGGACAAGTCCACCATACAAATAATACATACAAATCATTTGAGTAAGGAAGATATACTTACCAGTGTAAAGGCTAACATGCCTGTAAGTGGTACGAAGGGTTTCAAGTTCCCAGGATCAATGACCAAGTGAACTGAGGCAGATGAGACCTCAAGCCATTAACTTTGCCCCCAAGTTCATCATCACCATAAGCACAACATCACTTCTTTGGATAGTACATTAAAAAAATACTTGCTATATTTTTATTACATTAGAATATGTTGTCTTCCTCAGCCAGGTTCCACTAAACCTACTTTCCCAAAAACAATAGTTTTGGCAAATACTGTTTTCATGGAGCCTAACCCCTGTGTTGGAAAAGACCTCGGTGTAACCATCACTCATTGTTCTTCTCACTTGATCCTTTTCTGCTGTGAATCAAATTGATTATCTTTAACATCCCTGAAGTACTTTGTTGTTAGTGTATGTCATCTTCTTTTGCAGGTGTAACGTACAAAATGCCGAAGAATTCATGTAGGAACGGTACTTGGATCCTCCTCTCCACCAATCACTCCAGACCCTTCATCCATCTGTCTTGATGGTCCTGTGCTCCAAGACAGTTTGGAGCCTCCCTTGGAGAATGGATCAGGTGTTCCACCAGAGTGTAGGTTGAGTCATCTGCTGGGAAATGGATCGGGTGTTCCACCCGAGTATATGAAGGTCATCTGCTGGTAAATGAATCAAGTGTTCCATTGGGAAATGGTTCAGGGCCAACACTGGGGAACACATCAAGTCTCCCGGTGAGGAATGGTTCAGGGCCTCACCAGATGAAGAGTGCTTGCCCGATACCCTGGATGTTCTCGTAGGTCAGCCCTGCCGCAGCCGTAGCATCTCTGGCATGAACAGGGTATGTGCGTTATTGTTGGGTGTTTGTTCCTCGTGTCTTATTGTGTGTGGCAGCTGGTAATTGTTAGTAATTTGTTTTGTATGTGGTGTGAGTTGAGGATGAGTGTGCCATGTGTTGCAGATCAGTGAACCTGGCACCACATCCCATGTTCCCAAGAGGAAATTTATTGTGGGAGGTCACTCTCCTTCTGCCAGGTAAGCCTAAAAGAGTAATTGTAACAAATACGAGTTTGTGGCATGTCAGTCAGCTGATGTGTGCATTTTTGTGTGAGCTGCAAGTAATTTTCCTTGTAGATTATGATAAATATACTATATGTCATGTTGTAACAAGAAATAGATCTATTAATGCTTGACTCTTATTGTGCTAATAGGAGATGGACACTTTGTAGCTTATTGGCACATGAGGCACCATAATTATGCTTTTGGAGATCTTTTCTTGTATATTGATTAGATACTGTACTTGGTGTCCATAAAAGATTCAAACGTTTATCTTCTCACCAATCAATAACATAATAAACATGCAGTTCCCAGCAGACCAAAGAAATCTGCCAGGGACTTTGTTTTCTCCATAAAGTTGACAAAACTTTATTGGACTAAAAACTCAGATTGATGGCTGCAGTTGTCACAGTCATCAGAGATGGACACGGGTGATGACAGAGTATCACCAGCAATAAATTAAGAGGTTACACAAACAACTGACACATTAAGTTCTGATTTGCTGCAACTTGTTTATTTTGTTCTTGATTTACTGAAATGTTATGGAGTTGTTTAAATCTTTTATAGACACACCGTCTTCTACTGTTTGAGTCTTGTTTGATAGAAATATATTTACTGTGCTCAGTTCCCCTAGTGAGGTATGAGATGCTTGCTATGTATTGCTTAACTTTTCTGAGAGCACAAGTGTATCTTACGTGACAGTAAACCCTCACTATATCACTCTTAGGGAACTTGTTTTTACATTGCAGTGGTGATTGAATTATTATCTCTAGCTGGCCCTCACTATAGGGAGTAGAGTGCTTTTAGTATAAGGGTATTTTCTGAAAAGTGCAGTAATAGTTAGTATTTTTCTAATTAAACTCCAACACAGATATAAAGTCTACATACTTAAGAACACAATAAATCTTGTTCTTGAAACTTTCTCATTTATTAAGATTACATGTTTCTAAATTCTGTACTCAATACAGTACTGTACTTTACAGCTGAAAGAAAGATGTTTTGTCTTTATTAAGTTGAATTTAATGACTGTATGGTACTGTATTTGCCAATGAAAATTAATAAATGCAGTCATATGAATTAATTGTTGGAAACAATAAGACATACAGGCCAGAACTAAACTGTGATTGGGTCCAGGAGCTCTGGAAGAAAGGTTTAGGGAACACTCTGCAAACTGGTGCCAGCACTTCCACACCTCACTTACCAAGAGACTCTAAAACATTTACAATAGCCAAGTTTATACCACAGTAGGGCAAGGGATAATTTAATAAGGGTTTATGATCAACTTAAAGGGAATTACTTGGTCAAATGTGCATATTTGGAACTATCATATCTTGGGGTCACAGCCTCAAGTTAAGGAAGCTAACAACATAGAAAACTGTTACAGCTAACTTGGTTGCTGTTAGCTTATATGGAACTCTTGGGTAGTCTGCCAGAGAATGTTGCAACAGCACCAAATGTGAGCTCATTAAGTCTGGTCTATACCAACACTGGCACATGTTCAGGTGATTTAGGTACAAATGCTTATATGTTTTGCCAACAGTAAATCAGTTGGCTGATTGACAGTGATGAAGTAGATAAACAAATCAAAAAGACTTTCATTGTGAATAATCCTCATAACTGAGGATGTAAGAAAGTCACTGAATGGTGTACTTAAAAAATAACATTCTACCTTTATGGGAGGAGAGCAGAGATTGTGTGTGAGACAGTGTGGGTGGTGTTTTGTGTGTAGTACATTACGTCCCATTTTGTTACTCCCTCCGACCTGTGGAGTGATTTGTAATAACAGGAAGAGTCGCCCCCAAAGTCTGTATCTTCTGCTTTGTTTTCTTGGGTCTGCTGCCATTTGTTTCCTTTGCTGCCTCACCTCAGGTTGTCAAAATATCTTTTCTTACCTCCTGTTCACCAGTTTGGTAGTGGATGACAAGGAGCATGCTCCTGCTATGGCCAACACAGCATTTCTAGCTTTCAATTGTTTGCTGACAATAGTGTTCAGAGGTGGAGGTGGTGTTGACTGTAATGTGAGTAATGTGACTGTTTTGTGGCAACTGTTGGGATACATTACCAAGATATAGTGTGGGCTTACTGTACTTTGCTTACCTAGCAAAAAAGAAGCATAAATTTTTTTGCATGGCTCATGTGTATGGCATAAAAAATATATTTTAAAGTTTTGTTTCCTGGGAAAGTAAACTTTTTTTTTTTTGTCCAACTATAGATTGTACAACGAATTAACTCTACCATTTATTTAACCATGGCCTTCCTTTGACCGTCTCAATGACAGAAGCAATATCTCGATGAGACCGTCAACAATAAGGAAGAAATTAAGTTTAGGAACCCGTAAACCTTCCTGGAGCTGGGAGGCTTCACCAGCTAAGGGTTTCAGGTGAGTTAATACAAAATCTCTTTATGTACTGGGTATTTGTTCTCACATTGGTCACTAAATATATAGATTTCTGTAGATTATTAGTACACAAAACATGTAAAGTCAGTCTAAAGATGTCCATCAGCAGTCTTCTGAGAGTTTAACATGTTTGAGTGAGTGACTTTAATTCTTTAAAAAATATATTAATGATTTTATATGAAAAAAAATCGATTACAGGTTTTCTTTGTTTATGACAGCTTTTTAAGAGCCAAATTTGCACATACAGACAGACCCCGAGTTACAAATGCCCGACTTACGAACGGGACCCCAATATATTCATTGCCAATATCTTTTAAGAAAAATCCCATGTTACACTACTTTTTATTGTTTAATATCCCTTTATTCACAGTATTTATATTATTTGTTATATAAGGGATATAATTGTTATTTTATATGGGCAGGGTTGTGAGTTAAGCTAACGTAACCTATGTAATTAACACTGTTCCAACTTATGAACAGATCAACTTACAAACAGGGTCCAGGAACATGATCCATTCATCACTTGGGGACTGACTGTACAATGTTAACTTTTAGTACCCAAATTTCACTTATACTCTGCTAAAGTTTGCACATATACTGATACCCACCATTTTTTTTATACCTGTACCACACATAATGCATTAGGGAAAAAATCCTCTTGAACATAAGAAAGTACAATATCTTGAACTTGTAGTGTAAGGACTTTGGTTCCACACTTAGACAACTCCTCAGGAAGATAATCTTATTGTAAATCAAGGGACACCTGTACTGTACATAAAGGCTTATTTATTGCTATTTACTATCAATATTTGTTAATTTATTTTATGTATTAAGGTGACATTACATAATTATTGAATAATATATAGGTAGTTAGTGTTTTATCTTTATGTAATTTGATTGAGGTGGTTATGGTAATCCTGGAATATAAATTAATTCATGTGGAAGAATATAATCTGGGGTAGGAATAGACCACCTGCAGATACCACAGCACATTGACAGCAACATGGAGACACGTACATTTAATTGATGAATGATAAGAGACTTGGATAAATAATCACAGGTATTATTCATAAAACCTGTTTTATTTATTCATGCTATAGTTTATAGTACAGTACGGGTAGTTGTTGATATTATGGCTATTTGCCCATTGTAACAACAGGCAGCATCTGGCATAAGTTACCTCAAATTATTGGTTTATTTTGATCATTATTAATTTCAAACCTAAGTGGAAACAACAATAAAAATTATTAATATAAATAAATTGAATCAGATAATAATTCTGTATAAACTCAGTACTTATGACAGATGTTCTCAAGGCTCACTACACAACACAAGTTACAGTGATGGCATTCTCACTCACATTTCCACACCTCTCAATTGGTAATAGACTGTATTTAAGGTATTCGTTTAATTAAAGTACACATATAACGATTATTGTCTTTATTTTGTTATTTAGTAAGTAAAATAGAGATTGAATACAGATAGTGTGAAGGACAGAGTGAGTGGTGAAGAGTTGTGACAGATCGTTGGGTGAGAGTGGATAGACTATGACAATATTTAGATGGGATTGTCAGTAGTATTTGTTTTCGACTCATTTGAACACTTCCTTATAATAATGATATGATGATGATGATGATGATAATAATAATAATAATAATAATAATAATAATAATAATAATAATAATAATAATAATAATAATAATAATAATAATAATAAATACTCCATAAAATTACAGTACAGTATCATACAATGACTGCATCATTAAAACATTGTGCCAATCTCCCAACACCTGCTTTAATGGAACAAGTGCTAGTACCATTAAGCTGGGATTTTTAATGGAACAAGTGATAGGTCCATCAAGTTCTTTTGTTAATGGAACAAGTGCCAGTGCCTTTAACTTTTATTTTAACACAGAAGGAGATTATTTAGTACCATATCTCTCCTCTTTTAAACAATACCTATACAATATATCATTAATGACTTAACCACACATTTGTTCCCTTCTTACAGGACAGTGTGTGTGGTGGTTGGGACACATGTATTCACCTGGGCCCCTTACTCTGCCGTGGCTATAGCAGAGGCTGTGTTAGGCCCGGAGCGCCCTCTCTCGCCCTCACTGGGTTACGGTGAGTGTTGCTTCCTCACTGCCTTGTACTGTACGGTGAAGCTTACATATAACGGACTTCTCTCTCCATATAATCCATTACTTTGGGGTTTACAGCTAACTTAACCTCGCTATAATGGACTTTCATCTCTATATAGATCGTTAGATGGGGTTTATCCTAACGTATCCTCGATATAATGGACTTTCATCTCTATATAGTTTGTTAGGTGAAGGTTTTACTGTATACTACTATTTTGTATAGTGTTACATACATACCCTAATATAATGCAGATAGGCTCCACAGTACATAACCCATGAATATAACTTAAATCATAGGGAAGGATAAGCACCAGTAAATTGATTGGACAGTGATGCTTATCTAACCTCTCGTAGAAGGTTCCTGTACATCTGCCACAATTTTGACACTTGAGCTCTGTAGCTTTATGGTCCAACTTGTTTAACTTGCGAGCCTCAAGCTGTAACTTAATGGTCGAGAATTAAATTGTGGCAGCTGTGTTAAAAATTGTCATGGAAATCCCTGGTCTTAATAGTTATAATTGGGGTTAAGTCTTTATGTTAGGGACAGTTATCTATTTGTTGATTATCAGTAAGAGAATGACTATTGTATCATTTGATGTGCTGTAACTCAACTCTAAAGTGATATAATGCCTTTTATTATCAGGTAACATCAACAATGCTGCTCTTCACAGCTAGTGTATTCTATCCCATTGTGTATGGGTTGTATAATAGGAGCATAAGAAAGGAGGTGTATATGTCCCATGCTTAGTCGGGACCGCCCGGTGAGGAAGCTGCCCCCGTCGCACCTCCACACTACACTCCAACACAGGTACTGTTCCGTGACCTTCTGTACAGTGTAACCAAGTCTTATTCAGTCAGACTATTTTTCCTATGAACTCATGTGTTCATCATGGTCTTCTGTACCTCTTTAGTGCTCATTAAGGAGATTATCACAATATTAATGAGTTATCCTGCTAATAATGCCATAATCTCTGTAACATCTGTCAAAGATGTTAATGTACCTCATTGATATTATTTTTCGTGATCAGTGATTGGGAATTATTTAGGAAAAGTAAAAATAATCTCAGACAGAAATAAAAATAATAAATATAAAAGAAGACAAGCATAGGAGGTTCACAGCAGCCATTATTGTAACAGGTAGGCTGGTAATATATTGAAGAGTGTACAGTATTAAAAGTTCTCCCCCTACAGGAAGCGTACTGGATTCTTTCATCTCTGCGTCAGCGCGAACACGAGGAACTGCAACACGTGTCTCTGACGGCCCCCAGTCCAGGTCTTCTAACAGTACCCATCAAAACAATCTCTGGTACTCTTGCCAACCCAGCAGTACCTTCTCTCCTGCTCCTGGCTGACTATGACATCATACCATCACAGAGTTACAACATTAATGTCAGAAAACCGTCACAAGATTCTGGTAAGTTGAGAGTTTTTCATGGTCTGTTTATATTTGTATATTTTCCGCAGTTTCAGGGCCCATGTGTTCAGCCGGCAAAACCATAAACTATAATCATGTTACCAAAGAACTCAGAGCACTGCAGTACAGTCACAGGGATGTAGGATCATTGTTCCTGGTGCTCTAGTTACTCCCACAGACCCATTGCTACTTACTTTACACCAGAGTGCTGTTACCTCACTCTTGTCACCGGCCTATGAGAGCAGCTGGATGGGCAAGTGACTTTATTGTGTTCATCTTACAACATCAACGGTTTAAAACATTCCGTGTCAGATATTTTGTCTGTGGCAAGGGAAAATGATTTGACACTTATTCTTGTCTTCCTTCATCATTTATATGTTGAGAAACTCTGGTCCTGCAATCTCTTGTCTGTTGCACTTTTGTATTCCTTGGAGAAATCAAGGAATTCTGCTAATTTAGTCAGTCATACAGTGCCACATGGTCCATTTAGACTCTTACAAATCAAAAAATGCTAGAATATTACAGAGCACAGGAAAGATTGGTCCAGGTTGCTGATGAGAGAATTGTGTGTACCTGATCCTGTCGTTTGTTAAGTGAATATATATATATATACAGTATATATCATTTTTTTATTTATTTTTTCCACCCTAAAGCTCAGGGGACCTTATATCTAGTGTGTGTGGGAAGTATTTTAATGTTTTTGGAACTTGGGATGTGCTCATCTGGATATTATCTTACTTACTAAACTTATCTTGGAGGGGGAGTTCCCCAGCTAGGGGTTACACAATATAACTGAGGTTTGCTTGAGAACTTCTCTGTTGTTTGTGACTTTCCATGAAGTGTAGTTTTAGAATGAATTGGTCTTTTGGAACCAGTCTCAGAGACAGTGGGAGTCAAGGAGATACAGTACAGCTTTGTACTAGTTGTCTTTATTTGTAGCTTGGCAGCTTTTGGAGAGCATCTTGATGCTTTGTACAGATGCTGTATTCTCTAATATTGGTAGGAGTTTCCACCTTTTGATTTTTTTTTTTTTTACGGGAATTAGCCCACCCGGGCACAGTTCAAACGAATCCACAACGGGATCTGAGTCACCCTTTATGTTGGGTTTGCATGTTAACTTGAAGTTACTATATATTTCATTCTTATTTCTCCATTACAAGGGAGAGGAGTATCCTATTTTTTTTTATTGATTACTGGTCAGCTGTGGCATGTGCCAAAATTTAGGGTTTATCTAGATCTCTTCACTTACGGGAAATTAGAGAAGAATATTCAACCTAGCATTGAAGGTCATGTGTACAATAGATGACATCCATATTACTGGAACTTTCGTAAAAGAAGATGCCCTGTTGGGGAACTGAACTGTGTCATATAGGCCCCATTGTGGGTCGATGACCTGTGCCCAGGTGGCCTATTCCCCAGAAGAAAAAAAGTCTGTACTCTTTGATTCTTGTCACTGGACTTTTGAATGATGAATTTGTTTTATTGTTGAATAAGAGGGGTGATATCCAGAACAGGAATACATGGGATCTGATTTCTTTTTCCTCCTATTTTCAATACTAGATACTTAAAGTTGTATCAAATCTTGAGGCAGTTATGGGTTGTCACTATTCTAATGGCTCCTCTTTGACCCAGTCAGTTTTGTTTCCACCTCATTCAATTTTGTCCAAATTCTATTCTAGTTGTGTTTTCACGAGAGTCATTTGTCTTTCAGGGACCCTTTCTCCTTGTTTACTGGAGGCTAAGGACTGTCTTGTAATTAGAGTAGTAGTTTACAAATCTCATAAGCAGTTTTATCTTTAGTTTCAAGTACATATGCTAATGACAGATATGATGAACACTGCCTAAATCACTGCTTGTATTTCTGTATATCTAGTGAGTCCCCCCCCCCTCCCTTATTATTTATCTAAATTTATTACAGTAATTATTGCGCAAGACATGTTAGTATAGTGCCTTCTTACAAATAAAGCTGTTACCATATGTGTGACTAAGGTAAAAGATGATTGGTGGTTGCCCATATTCAGGGAGATGAGACAGATAGATTCATTAGGTGAGAAATAATATATTATGTATTATCTGTCTAGAACAGATAAACACACTGAATTTACGACATGAAGAAGAGTCAGTTGACGAATTGTCCTATACGGGTTGAAACTTGGAGCTAAGGAAAAAAATCATTAAACAAAGGGGGTGGTAAGTTCGTCACTCCTATTCTAAACACCTACTGTGTATATAGAGTATTTAGTAGCGAGACATTTATCACTCTTGTTGTATATTATCCTAAAGTTAATAGCAGTTTTCCAGTGTATAACTTTTCTTTGGACTTTACTGTTCTCACTTCCTGGAAGACAAAGGTATGTTTGTTCCATCAACCTGGGTAAATTAACTTATTTTTTTTACCTCATCAAGCAGAGGACTTAATACTGAATGTGAACAATTTGGTTGATGACCCAGGGTTGGTTATGTTTTGAGTGTTTACAACAAATACTGTATAGTGTAGAAAAGTTTTATGGGTCACACTGAGCATGTAGAGTCCCATCTGGCAAAGGTTCAGAGCTTAGCTTCTACTTCCAGATTGCTGTTTGTACGAACTTTCTCCAACACTTTCTAAGCGGGGTGGGCAACCAGGTACGTCAGGTGTGTTTTAACCTGCCTGGTGTGTTCTGTTTTATGCATAAACCCACCTGATGTGTCTTGTATTGAGCTATAAGCACCTGGTGTGTCCATTCTTTGTGTTGCCTCAACCCACCTCAGATTTGTTCACAACTACCTGGCTTCATGTTCTTATTGATGCATGCTGATATATTTTTTCCAGCATTACAAATTTGAACTTCTGTGGTTTTCTTTATCTTGTTGAGTTTCTCAATCTTGTTGGTATGTCCCAGTGTTCACAGCATCCTTATTGCCACCTCTGCCATTTCTGCAAATTTTTACTCTCCAATAGAGGTACTACACTCCACAATTTTTTTATATAATATCAACATGATATTTGCATGTTATCCTTTGACAGGTTTGCAATACAAGTAGCGGTAATTTTCTCGTCAAGTGTGTTTCAATGCTGCCATCACTCCCCTGGAATATGATAATTGTACTGGATTATGATGTGTTGGACCACTGAGCAGTAACCTGTGTTTCAGCCACCTAAAACCGGTACCTCTGGTGTGATGTAGTTTAGCTCCCTGTACTTACTGTAGTCTTACTTAATGTGACTTAAAATGAGTAGATTGTGTGAGAGGCAGTGTAATACAGTGCTGTTATGTATTATAGAAGAAAAGTTTTATATGGGTATTAGTATTGAAATTAAGCAAAGATTTTTATTAATTAATCTTTCATTTTATGCTTTGGTACAGTTGAAGAAAGGTGTTCCTACATCACTGTTTATGAATGAATAGGTATTGGTCATGTAATGATGGACATGATTGGTGGATAGGTTTGCAGTCACAAAATTTATAGGTTGGCCGTTTGAAGACAGAGGTTACAACAGGGAGAACACATTTCTACAGCTGTACCACGTGTGAAGCATGGTTTTGATGTTGAGAATGCTTTTTTTTTACCATGTTGTCTGGTCTTCCTGCATGCAGTACTAGTGTCAAGTGCCGTTGATATATAATCAAGCAATGAAGGAATGTGAGTAGTGCATGATGTACTACAGGTGTCAAGTGTCTATTTCTTCATTCCAAGCTGACAGGTCGTATTCGGTTACATGACATAACAAATGAAAGGGGAATTCTTGATCCTCGCTTGCATTTCCAAGTTGCTGGCTGTACTACAGTAATTCTACTAACTTGTAAGTTTGCATAACAAGAGCACAAGCAATGTATTAACTACAGTGTTTACACATTGTACTGGACGAACCTTTCATTTGGACATAATAAAAGTCTGTGAACAGCAACCAGGTTTATTCGTGTAATTATGGAAACGTGTAATTATGGCATGAACACGTGTAAGTACATAAAAACAATAGAAATAGAATAAATATATAATCTTGGTGTACCAAGGCTATACTCTTAGTACATCAAGACTATAGTCTTGATATACTTAGAGTATAGTTCAGGTCAAGTTATATTTTATTAATTAGGCTATAGTCTTGGTACCAAGACTATAGCCTAGTGCACCAAGACTATAGTCTTGAGTACTAAGAGTATTCTGTACACCAAGACTATAGCCTTGGTGTACTAAGTGTAGCCTTGGTCACCAAGATTATATTTCTAAGTATATCAAGACTATAGTCTTGATATGCTGTAAGTATAGTCTGATGTACATCAAGACTATAGTCTTGGTGTACCAGGCTATAGTCTTGGTACCAAGACTAGTCTAGGACACCAGGACTATAGCCTGGTGTAATAAGAGTATAGTCTTGGTGTACCAAGACATATAGTCTTGGTACACCAATTTATACTTAGTAACAAGACTATAGTCTGGTGTATTACAGTAGTTAGAGTGTTATACTCTTAGTATACCAGACTATAGTCTTGGTGTACAAGATTATAGCCTAGTACACCAAGACTTAGCTGTACTAAGAGTATAGCCTTGGTACACCAAGACTATAGCCTTGGTGTACTAAGAGTATAGCCTTGGTACACCAAGACTATACTCTAAGTATATCAAGACTATAGTCTTGATATGCTTAGAGTATAGTCTTGATGTACATCAAGACTATAGTCTTGGTGTACCAAGGCTATAGTCTTGGTGTACCAAGACTATATAGTTTAGTACACCAAGACTATGTTTGAGCTAAGAGTATAGCCTTGGTGTACCAAGACTATATAGTCTTGGTACACCAAGATTATACTCTAAGTATATCAAGACTATAGTCTTGGTGTATTAAGAGTATAGTCTTGGTATGCCAAGGCTATACTCTTAGTACACCAAGACTATAGTCTTGGTAGACCAAGACTATAGCCTTGGTGTATTAAGAGTATAGTTTGGTACACCAAGACTATACTCTAGTATATCAAGACTATAGTCTTGATGTATAAGAGTATAGTCTTGGTGTACTAAGACTATATAGTCTTGGCACACCAAGACTATGTCTGTGTACTAAGATAGCTGTATAATATTTTCAAGTATATCAAGACTATAGTCTTGATATGCTTAGAGTAGTCTTGATGTACATCAAGACTATATAGTCTTGTGTACTAAGGCTATAGTCTTGGTGGCAATAGACTATATAGTCTTGGTACACCAAGACTATACTCTTAGTACATCAAGACATGTCTGATATACTTAGAGTATAGTCTTGTGTACCAAGGCTATACCTTAGCACAACTGTAGTCTTGGGTACTCTTAGTACCCAAGACTATAGTCTTGGTGTACTAAGAGTAGTCTGGCATACCATTATACTCTAATACACCAAGACTATAGTCTTGGTGTACTAGTATATAGTCTGGTACACCAAGACTATAGTCTTGATGTACTAAGTAGTTTGGGTGACCAAGATATAGAGTCTTACACCAAGATTATACTCTAAGTATATCAAGACTATAGTCTTGGTGGACTAAGGTTATACTCTTAGTACACCAAGGCTATAGTCTTGATGTACTAAGAGTATAGCTGCAAGAGTATAGCCTTGGCACACCAAGACTATACTCTAATATATTAAGACTATAGTCTTGGCACCAGATATATTTACATATCATTAGTCTTGATATACTAAGATAGTCTTGGTGTACCAAGGCTATACTCTTAGTACACCAAGACTATAGTCTTGATAATAATATATACTTAGTACACAAGACTATAGTCTTGATGTACTCAAGACTATACTTAGTACACAACTATAGTCTTGATATACTTAGAGTATAATCTGGTGTACCAACTATATAGTCTTGCACAAAGACTATAGCCTTGTGCATAAGAGCAGCTAAGTACCAAGACTATACCTAAGTATATCAAGACTATAGTCTTGGTGTACTAAGAGTATAGCCTTGCACACCAAGACTATATTCAGTATATATAGTCTTGATGTACTAAGAGTATAGTCTTGGTGTACCAAGACTATATAGTCTTGGCACCAAGATTATACCTAAGTATATCAAGACTATAGTCTTGGACAAGGTTATACTTTAGTACACCAAGGCTATAGTCTGATGTACTAAGAGTATAGCCTTGTTAATATGCCTGCACACCAAGACTATACTTTAATACAATTAAGATAGTCTTGGTACACTAAGACTATACTCTAAGCATATCAAGACTATAGTCTTGATATACTTAGAGTATAGTCTTGGTGTACCAAGGCTATACTCTTAGTACAATCAAGACTATAGTCTTGATGTACTATCAAGATTATACTCTTAGTACACCAAGACTATAGTCTTGATGTACATCAAACTATACTCTTAGTACATCAAGACTATAGTCTTATATTAGAGTATATCTGGTGTACTAAGGCTATAGTCTTGGTACACCAAGACTATAGCCTTGGTGTACTAAGAGTATAGCCTTGGTACACCAAGACTATACTCTAAGTATATCAAGACTATAGTCTTGATGTACTAGGAGTATAGTCTTGGTGTACCAAGACTATATAGTCTTGGTACACCAAGATTATACTCTAAGTATATCAAGACTATAGTCTTGGTGTACTAAGAGTATAGTCTTGATGTACATCAAGACTATAGTCTTGGTATTAAGAGAGCAGTTTGGTACAATAAGACTATACTTCAAGTATATCAAGACTATAGTCTTGATATTTAGAGTATAGTCTTGGTGTACCAAGACTATAGTCTTGGTGTATTAAGAGTATAGTCTGGTGTGCTAAGGTTAATTTAGTACACCAAGACTATAGTCTTGGGTACTAAGAGTACCCAAGACTATAGCCTTGGTGTACTAGGATATAGTTTGGTACACCAAGACTATATTCTAAGTATATCAAGACTATAGTCTTGATGTACTAAGAGTATAGTCTTGGTGTACCAAGACTATATAGTCTTGGTACACCAAGACTATAGTCTTGGTGTACCAAGACTATAGCCTTAGTACACCAAGACTATACTCTAAGTATATCAAGACTATAGTCTTGATATGCTTAGAGTATAGTCTTGATGTACATCAAGACTATATAGTCTTGGTGTACCAAGGCTATAGTCTTGGTGTACCAAGACTATATAGTCTTGGTACACCAAGACTATACTCTTAGTACATCAAGACTATAGTCTTGATATACTTAGAGTATAGTCTTGGTGTACCAAGGCTATACCTTAGCACAAGCTATAGTCTGGGTACTTAGTACCCAAGACTATAGTCTTGGTGTAATTAAGAGTATAGCCTTGCATACCAAGACTATACTCTTAATAATAACCAAGACTATAGTCTTGGTGTACTAAGAGTATAGCCTTGGTACACCAAGACTATACTCTAAGTATATCAAGACTATAGTCTTGATGTACTAAGAGTATAGTCTTGGTGTACCAAGACTATATAGTCTTGGTACACCAAGATTATACTCTAAGTATATCAAGACTATAGTCTTGGTGGACCAAGGTTATACTCTTAGTACACCAAGACTATAGTCTTGGTGTACTAAGAGTATAGCCTTGGTACACCAAGACTATACTCTAAGTATATCAAGACTATAGTCTTGATGCAATTAAGAGGTCTTGGTACTAAGACTATATAGTCTTGGTACAATTATACTCTAAGTATATCAAGACTATAGTCTGTGGATCATGTTATACTCTTAGTACACCAAGGCTATAGTCTTGATGTACTAAGAGTATAGTTGGTGTATTAAGAGTATAGCCTTGGCACACCAAGACTATACTCTAAGCATATCAAGACTATAGTCTTGATATACAGTAGTCTTGGTGTACCAAGGCTATACTCTTAGTACACCAAGACTATAGTCTTGATGTACATCAAGACTATACTCTTAGTACACCAAGACTATAGTCTTGATATACTTAGAGTATAATCTTGGTGTACCAAGACTATATAGTCTTGGTACACCAAGACTATACTCTTAATACACCAAGACTATAGTCTTGATGTACATCAAGACTATACTCTAAGCATATCAAGACTATAGTCTTGATATACTTAGAGTATAGTCTTGGTGTACCAAGGCTATACTCTTAGTACACCAAGGCTATAGTCTTGGTGTACCAAGACTATATAGTCTTGGTACACCAAGACTATAGTCTTGGCCATCAAGACTATAGTCTTGATGTACATCAAGACTATACTTCAGCATATCAAGACTATAGTCTTGATATGCTTAGAGTATAGTCTTGGTGTACTAAGGCTATAGTCTTGGTACACCAAGACTATAGTCTTGGTGCACAAGACTATAGTCTTGGTACACCAAGACTATACTTGTACATCAAGACTATAGTCTTGATATACTTAGAGTATAGTCTTGGTGTTGCTGCTATACCTTAGTACACCAAGGCTATAGTCTTGGGGTACTCTTAGCCCTAAGACTATTTGTACGAGAGTTCCTGCACCAAGACTATACTCTTATTACACCAAGACTATAGTCTTGGTGTACCAAGACTATAGCCTTAGTACACCAAGACTATTTCTAAGTATATCAAGACTATAGTCTTGATATGCTTAGAGTATAGTCTTGATGTACATCAAGACTATATAGTCTTTGCGTACTGTTATCTTGGTACCAAGATTATATAGTCTTGGTACACCAAGACTAATTTTAGTACATCAAGACTATAGTCTTGATATACTTAGGTTAAGTCTTGGTGTACCAAGGCTATACTCTTAGTACACCGCTATAGTCTTGGGTACTCTTAGTACCCCAAGACTATAGTCTGTGTAATTAAGAGTATAGCTATAGCTGCTCAACTATATTCTCTAATACACCAAGACTATAGTCTTGGTGTAATAAGAGTATAGTTCAAGTACACCAAGACTATAGTCTTGATGTACTAAGAGTATAGTCTTGGTGACCAAGACTATATAGTCTTGGTACACCAAGATTATACCTATATCACATAGGCCTAGGACCACCTTAGCACCAAGACTATAGTCTTGAATTAAGAGTATAGCCTCACCATACCTAAGTATATCAAGACTATAGTCTTGATGTACTAAGAGTATAGTCTTGGTGTACCAAGACTATATAGTCTTGGTACACCAAGATTATACTCTAAGTATATCAAGACTATAGTCTTGGTGGACCAAGGTTATACTCTTAGTACACCAAGGCTATAGTCTTGATACTAAGAGAGAAGCCTGTACTAAGAGTATGCCTTGGCACACCAAGACTATACTTCAAATACATTAGGTCTTGGTACACCAAGACTATATTCTAAGCATATCAAGACTATAGTCTTGATATAATTTGTATAGCTTGGTGTACCAAGGCTATACTCTAGTACAATTAGACCATAGTCTTGATGTACATCAAGACTATACTCTTAGTACACCAAGACTATAGTCTTGATGTACATCAAGACTATACTCTTAGTACAATCAAGATATAGTCTTGATATACTTAGAGTATAATCTTGGTGTTAAGACTATATAGCTTGGCACACCAAGACTATAGCTCTTAATACACCAAGACTATAGTCTGATGTAAATCAAGACTATATTTAAGCATATCAAGACTATAGTCTTGATATACTTGAATATAGTCTGGTGTACTAAGGTTATAGTCTTGGTACACCAAGACTATAGTCTTGGTGTACTATAGAGTATTTTGGTACACCAAGACTATACTTTAGTTTTCAAGACTATAGTCTTGATATATTCAGTATATAGTCTGGTGTACCAGCTATACACCAAGGCTATAGTCTTGGGGTACTCTTAGTACCCCAAGACTATAGTCTTGGTGTACTAAGAGTATAGCCTTGGCATACCAAGACTATACTCTTAATACACCAAGACTATAGTCTTGGTGTACTAAGAGTATAGCCTTGGTACACCAAGACTATAGCCTTGGTGTACTAAGAGTATAGCCTTGGTACACCAAGACTATACTCTAAGTATATCAAGACTATAGTCTTGATGTACTAAGAGTATAGTCTAAGTATATCAAGACTATAGTCTTGGTGGACCAAGGTTATACTCTTAGTACACCAAGGCTATAGTCTTGATGTACTAAGAGTATAGCCTTGGTGTACTAAGAGTATAGCCTTGGCACACCAAGACTATACTCTTAATACACCAAGACTATAGTCTTGGTACACCAAGACTATACTCTAAGCATATCAAGACTATAGTCTTGGTGTACATCAAGACTATAGTCTTGATATACTTAGAGTATAGTCTTGGTGTACCAAGGCTATACTCTTAGTACACCAAGTCTATAGTCTTGATGTACATCAAGACTATAGTCTTGGTGTCCAAAAGATGCTATAAAGCAAGACTATACTCTTAGTACACCTGTTTTAGAGCAGCCTTGGTGTCTTAGAGCTGCTTTTAATCACCTAAGACTATAGACTCAGCTGGAACATCAGCTTTAACCACCACATGATATCAAAGGTCTATGTTAAGCTGTCTGATCTTATGACATAACTCAACCCACAGTGAGATGAACAAGTGAGATAAGCATATGTTGACTAGTGAAATAACCAACCAACTTAATCTGATACGTCAAAGGCTTTGTTGTATTTGATCATAAGGGTCAGGCTGGGTCTTTTAGAAATGGATCTAACTTACATATAACCCTTTCAAATATGTGTGACTATAACATTAATTTGACCGACTGTACATTTGGAAAATTATGGTTGCTAATTATGATTTCTGTTCATCAGGAGCAGTTATGGGCAGTGGTGATGATCCTGATTCTGACATGGAAGCTCCAGCAATTATCCCACATCTTCAACAGCCTGCACGCAGAGTGTCTGCCCCGAGTATTCTGGACACTGTTCGTGAGGATCCAGATACGACCACAGCTGTGGTCTATGTCAACAGCAGCAATACACCGCCATCCATACCCAAGCGCAAGTCGCCTATCCTTCCGTTTTCTCCTCAATGTCTTGGTGCTGGTCTCAAGATCAGCTCATCATTACGACGTTCACACAGTCTGGAGAAATTTAATTCTGATTATGATTGTAAGGTTCATAGAGATATAATACTGAATAATAAGATACCAACAAGATCTTTGCGTAAAAAACTTTTCCTTCCCCCAATAGTGAGAGAAACTCAATTCAATACTCCCTCCTCATGTGAGCGAGTTCAGAGAAGGAAAGGATCAGTGTCAATGCTAAAGGTGATGGCAATTCCTGAGGACAGTGGCATTCTTGAATGTCCAGAAGTTCCAGACTCTGGGAGGGGAAGTGTGGACAGTGGAGAGGTTGTTAAAACACGTGCCAACAGGCAGATAAGCATTGATGAAGGTATAGGAGCAGACTGCGTTTTAGAGGAAGAGGGTGTCTCTGACTAATAAACCATGTTCATGTTCCAAGTCTATTGTGATAACAGAAATTGGTAGTAAAAATCTTTAGACTGAGAGTATGAGATTGACAGATTACTCTTACAGTCCAGTCAGAGTGTGAATAATGTAAGTTTGTCTTACCTTCTCCACTCCTCTGATACAGCCACTCAGTACCTGCACCATGATCCTGCTAGTTCTTCCAAAGCCTTTCATGGCCTCATCACTCATCACCAACACCCCCATATCATACTCTTTTTCTCAGTTACCAACTCCTCCATACATCATCATCATCAACACTCATGAGCTTGAAAATATCAGGGTACTCATCCTTTCTCTGTATTCTTGTACTCAAGCCAATATTATCATACCTATGTTAATGTTCCCCTTCATGGCACAATTATTCCATACTTTAACAAGTAAATCCCCAGACATCAGTATTTTAGCTTCTCTCTTTAGTATTTAATGGTACATTAAGGTGAGGGAATCGAGACCTTTCACATGTTGATTTTACCATTCTTTCAGCCTTACGTTACTGCATCTTTTTGAACATGTGAAGGTACACTACCTCGTCAAAAACATGTTCCTGCAATATCATCAATATAAAAACATATTCCTTAAGATAAGACTCCCATTAAATGACCAGTTAATCATTACATTTCTTGTAGTGGCACAAGATTCCTTTTTACATTTAAAACTTTCAGTATATAGGTTCCATGGAGTACAGGTTCATCAAAGCATAAACCAATCACCCAAAACATTATGTGCAAATACTGTACATACAAATTTAGAAATGTTTAGGTACAAGCAGTCCTCAGTTTACAAACTTAGTGTGATTGTAAACTGTATCAATAAATCCCACTGAAACTATGATATGAACAATTCATTTATCCCAAAGTACAAGTAAAAAAACCCAATTTTTTTAAAATAAAAACACATAAATACAAACATCGCGCATAGCATGTTGTAATTCAGAAAATACTAAATCTTATAAAAAAAATCTTTATGATATATGTACAATTATTATCAAGTGCGCTCATGAGTGCCCTGGCCGTCACTATAGGCTCAGCGGTGTCAATATTGTTGATATTACAGCACTTGTAAAATGAAATACTGTAGTACCCAAATTAAATAATTATGAATGAATTAAATTCTGTACAGTAAGTAAAGTACAGTACTGTACATTACTTTAGGTCCAATGGATGCATTCATGTGTACGAATTTCTAGGAGCAGAACAAATGTTCAAAAGACCAAAAAATGGTCACAAAATATAATGTTCATATGAGTGTATGTTCATATACCAGATGTTTGGAAACCAAGGATTGTCTGTACATTATTTTTTTTGTACAAGTTCATTGTGTATAGATTCCCATGAACGTATGCTGCTCGTCAAACATAAATGTGTTTCGAGATACATGATGTAACATAGCATAATGTCTGGAGAACCAAAATAGTTTCTGTAGCAATGTTCATCCTTTTTAATTTCCTGTAGGTTGTAACATTATACTTAGCTTTTTGTATGCTGATGAAGCTTTTGATAATCAAAAGTGCATTTATAATGATGATGACAATATTCAGTAATTTCTGCATCCCAAAATGTGATATGATGATCATCCTTAGATGTGAAATGCTTTAATGATAACTGGTGAAACACTGGTGTATATTGCATGTGGAGTGTATGTCAAAATGTGTATAATAAATAAAATATTTTGTGTCCACTTGTTTTTTCTTTATATGTACTGTACTGTAATGGTTTACATTACTTCCTTCTATGAGTTTCATAAAATTTGAGAAATTGCTGTACAGGAGCTCTTACCTCTCACTATTGTGGCCAGGGTGTGGGAAGGGTGTTGTTGTTCAGTCTGACCCTTCTGAGCATTACAGGTTTTCTTAGGGTGCTCTGGTTTCCTCTTTTGCCAATACCAGACTCATGAAAGATCTCCTTAGGAACAATATGGGGGTTAAAGGAACCCCTGGCTTCCTTCCCCTAACTAAAAGATAAATAAGAAAAATAAAATCAGTAGCTCCCCAGACAGTGATATAAATATTTATTCAGTAAAATCATTATTCAAAATCTTATTGACTCGGCATTTACAGAGCAGTGCAGTTACAGAAAATAGGCTAAATTACTAAGATTTCTCACTTTACATGATCCGATCTGATATCAAATAGAACCCCTAAAAGGTTCCTTCAAGTGCTCTTGTATATGTTCTGTATAATATAGGGTAGGCAACTCGTGGCCCGGACCATGTGATCGTGGAGCCTGTGGAGTGATTGAGAAATTCTATTTAATGTGGCCTTTGGTTCTGGTAGATGCAGCCAGTTTATGGGGAGTAAATCGATATTTATTAAAAGAATAATCTTCCCACAATTCGTTACTGTTTCATCACCCAAGATTAAGTTAATTACAAAAATGTAACGGTGAAATAAGTATACATAGTCAACCATATAAGTATTTTAACTTGTGGGAGTTTATGGGCCCAGTTTGGCACGGCCTATTTGATGGATTAGCCGCTAAGTAGCAGTGGGCACCTGAGAATTACCCGGTAACTAATGTTGTGAAAGTCCAAGTGGGGTCATGGGCGGTGGTTACACAGGGTTTAACTAAGTACTTCCAGAATAAAACATCTAAACTACACCTTGGAAACCCATAGTTGTTGAGTAATTAGCATTGAAAAATATAATAAAATTATTCTGATCATCATTACGGCCACTAATTACCCTGCAATCGAATCATGGGCCATAGATTAGGAATCATCATGCTCAGGAGTACCTATACTGTACTGAGATTTTCAGCAAAATCAAATTTTTGGCCGAAAATGTAAGCCTTTACAACTTTCGTAATTTTTTGACCGAAATATACTTTTCTCTCGGAATTGTAATTTAGGGGTTTTAACTAATTAAGTACTTCCTGAATAACACAAAACACCTAAATCACACCTTGGAAACCCATAGTTGGCAAGTAATTAGCATTGACAGGGAGTCTACTGGTCCGGAAAAGCCAGGGAATTTTACAAATGTAAACCTGGAATTTTATGTGATTTCAGTTCAGCTTCAAAACGTTGTTATTTTGTCTGCAATCTTACCATAAATTAATTATGCACTATAAAATAGGTAAATAATTAATCTTCAAGAAACACATTCCAGTACTGTAAATAGTCCACTCCAATACTGAATTATTTGTGTACCGGTCATATTTCATGTTAGTGATCATATATTATAGGTTATACCTGTACCTACTAATGCTGCAATGATTATTGTCAGAGATGAATTGTTCTTCATAATCAAGAGACTTTATTTAAGTGGATTATTCCACACATTTATCATAAGTCATTTAGGTGGATCAGGAGTGATTATTAAGTTTTTGCCGGATTTCCGGGGTTTTTTGAATGTCCAGATCAACACGTGAATTGTGCAAATCCGAGAAGAAAAATATGGAGGGGATCAAGGTCTTTGCCAATGCTCGTCACTAGGCTTAATGATCATTCTGATCATAGCTGCTTAATACCCTAGCCACAGGCTAGGGTGCAACTGGCCATGTCCTATTCACCACTGATCGGCTCGTTAGCCACTTGGGCGATCTGTTACGTCTCTGTTATGCACTGTTGTCAAGTACAGTACTGGCTCCTGAATGTATCTGAACCTGCTCCAGTGTCTATTTTTACTTTTATCCTCTTCACCACTGATCGGCTCGTTAGCCGCTTGGGCGATCGGTCACGTCTCTGATTAATTTTCCTTTTCTTTTATCCTCTTCACCAAAAGATCAGCTTGCTAGCCGCCCGGGCGATCGGTCACGTTTCTGTCACGCACTGTTGGCAAGTACTGGGCATGCACCGGCTCCTGAATGTACCTGAACCCGCAAGAGTGTTGGTCAAATCTTGTCTTGAAAGAGTTCACACTCGGTGCCGTCACAACACTTTCTGGTAGATTGTTCCAAGAGTTTACAACCCTCACTCCGAAAAAGTTTGCCCTCACAGTTTTCTGGACCCACAGCTTCTTCAATCTTGAGCTGTGACCCCTTGTGGGGCGAGCGTCCGCCAGCTCCAAGTAAGGACACTCGACAGAGTAGTGCCCCCCTGAGATGCTTATACACCTCAACTAGGTCACCCCGTCTGTAGTATAAGCTAGGCAAGTTCAGGCGCTCCAATCTCTCAGGGTGGCTGAGGTGCCGAAGTGCAGGCACCAGTCTGGTGGCCCTCCTTTGAACATTTTCAACCAACTGACAGTCCCTAGCATATCTCGGGGACCAGACGGGGTGACAGTACTCCAGATGGGGAAGCACATCACTCTTGAAGATCGTTACGAGGGACTGGCCGTCTAGATATCTGAATGACCTTCTTATAAGACACAATAATTTATTTGCCTGATTTACCTTCTTCTCGCAATGGCTCGAGAACTCCAGCTCATTGTCAACATACACACCTAGGTCCTTCTCACATTCAGTCTCAACTAGTGCAGTTTCTTCATCCCGTTGGGACATATGAAACGCCTCCTTACCTTTGGTACGCCCCAGGTGCATCCTCTTACACTTCGGGACATTGAATCTCAGCAGTCATTCCTTGGACCATTCCTGGAGCCCACAGAGGTCCTTCTGCAGCTCTTCACAGTCCGCTTGGTTCTTGATATCCCGAAATAACTTGGCATCATCGGCAAACATTTGTATGGAGGAGTGTACAACGTCAGGCATGTCATTTATGAAAGAAACAAACAAACAAACAACAGCAGGCCAAATACACACTGCCCTATGGTACACCACTTGTGACAGGTACGGATGACGATTTCGTGCCATTAATCAACACACACTGCTTGCGGTCATGTAGAAAGTCTTCTATCCATGCTAGGACATTTCCCAGAATTCCGTGCCCTTCCAGTTTGATTTTCAGCCTTTCGTGGGGTACACTGTCGAAAGCCTTGTCAAAATCTAGGTAAACATTGTCGATATTACCACCCAGTTCCAGAATATGGGTCCAAATATCCAAAACCTTGACCAATTGTGTTAAGCAGGAGCGCCCCGGCATAAAACCGTGTTGGCAATCCTTTACAAGGTTGTTTCGTAGTAGATGTTCCATTGCAGCATCTCTGATAATATGCTCAAGTACTTTACATATTATGCTGGTCAGGCTCACCGGTCTATAGTTGTTCATGGAGTGACGATCGCCCTTCTTGAAGATAGGACTCACATAAGCCACTTTCCATTCACTGGGGACCTTTTGTTCATCCAGGCATTTACAAAACAGGATCTTCAGGGGCTCGGCAAGCTCGTTGCACAACTCTCTTAGCACTCTAGGATGCACCATGTCAGGGCCGGGACTCTTATGGACATTTAGCCTGGATAGTTAATTCTAATACCCTCTTCTGTGAACACAATGTGGGTCAGTGCTGTGTCAAACCGTCTGTCCTCAAACGCAGGAAGGTTAATTGCATCCTCTCTTGTGAGCACCGAGAAAAAGAAGCTGTTCAATGCCTCAGCTTTAGCCTGGTCAGAATCTGCCTAACTACCATCTTCAAGCCTCAGGTCTGATACTCCTACTCGCGTTTTCAACTTCGACTTTGCATAGCGGTAATACGCCTTTGGGTTTGACTTGAACTCGCTTGCAACCAGCCTCCGGAACTCCTTTTCAGCCCTTCTACACTCTATCTTTGCTTGGCTTCTGGCTCTTGCATACATCCTCCTGTCTTGCTCATCGTTTGACCCAACCCACGTCTTGAATTTCTGGGTTTTCTTCTTAATTCTGTCGACCGCCGCATGGTTCATGTGAAGGGATCCCCTCGTATTCCTAGAGGCACTGGGTTTGGTCTTGGGTATATATTTATCGATCAAATGGGTCACTTTACTAGTTATGATATTCAGCGTAGTGTCTGCGTTCTTGTGCCTTAATGAGTCAAGCCAGTTGATACCTCTCATCTCTTCCGTCATCCCGTTGTAATTTCCCTTGTAATATTTGCACCTTGACCTGGCCTTATCCTGAACTAGGTAACAGTTAAATCTGAATGACAACACTATATGGTGACTGGTGCCAATTGGGGCAAGGTGTTCCAGTTTGGCCACCATACCCTCCTCGTTTGTTATGATGAGGTCAAGTGACTTGGGTGTTTGCTTCCCTCTGTAATGTGTCGGGTCTCTAACATGTTGGAACAGAAAATTCTCTCTCCGAGTTTCTACAAAAAGAGTAGCACGGTTATACAAGTCATTTGGGGTGGACTCGTTTCTCCAGTCGATGTCGCCATAGTTAAAGTCCCCCATGATAAGGAGGTGGCTAGGGTTGAGCATCGCCGCGTTGTCTATTAAGGCTCTTAAGTTCCTTTGAATTAGTGGGCCACAGTTTGGAGATCTGTAGATAAGCCCGATGATAAGTAAGTCCCCTCCCTTTAATTTAATTTTACACCACTTGGACTCTTCAAAAACATCCTCTCCCTGTACCCTCGCCTGGCTGGCTCTAAGGTCTTGCCCAGCATAGATAACCACACCCCTCTTGCAAGTTTCTTGAGAAAGGTTTGTAAACGAGTCATATCCAGCAATACTGAATTCACATTCCTCTGGGTCAATTCTCCTGTTCTTGTACAACAGTTTTACAACCCCTACAATATCTGGTTGGTGTACTTTCAGTGGTGTGTCAAACTCCTCTCTCTTATCAAGAAGCGTGTCACTATTAGTGTACATGACATTCAAGCCAGAATTTGTTCTCGGTAACGTCTCTGCTCTTAGTAGTAACACCCCCATTCTCAGAAGCTGCAGCATTTCCCAAGTACACTGTATTTTGCAGGGTGTGGTTAGAAATGTCATTGTTTACACGGCGCTCGCCTCCTCCTGTCCGGTAGGGGGAGCTGGTGCCGCCTCCCGGTTAGGGGGTAGTGCGGGTGGAGAGTGCACTGCTGCCCCCTGGCCGTGTCGGCACACTTGCTTCCACTACCCTCCCCCTGAATATAACCCATGTACACCCATCTCCGTTCTTCCTTGACTCCTCTTTCTTCTGCTTCAAGTCCTGCAGGAGCTTCTTGTGCTGTTCCCTCTGCGTTACCATGCGATCTGGGTGAATGAATACACCCTGAAATGCCTCGCTCCTTGCTAATTTTTTTGCCTGCCGAATAACCGGCCATTTCTCTTCCTCGCTCACTTGTGTGATCCTGAGGGGGCAAGGCTTATCCCCCTGCTTTTGTCCCAGGCTCCTCACATCCTGAGGGGTTGATGGAATCTTCAGAACCTCTGTATAAGTATTTTGAAACCATCTTATCGTGTGTTCCCTCCGCGACTCCAAAAATTATTACATTGTTCATCAGCTGGAAACGTTCCTGTTGTTCTTCCTCTCCCCTAACAGTAAGTCTGTTAATTTCATTTCTTCGATACACTTCTTCCGAGTCCTTAGCTGCTGTAGAACCTGTTCTGATCCAGCATTACTCCCCGCCCCCTCCCGTGGCCCTGCTAATACGTCAGCATAACTCCTCTTAGCAACCACCTCCATTCTATCGGCTACTTCCTCATTCTTAGCAAGGATCTTTTTCCCAACTTGCTCTAGTTTGGCAACCAGCAGGGCTCCAGCTTCATCTATTTTCGTCCCTAGAGAACTCGTTCCCTTATGGCTTTCAATCGCCTCATTCACCTTGACTATGCAGTCAGGGCAATACCAGCAACAGCCTTCATGCTTTACGGCAGTTTGTAACATCCTAAACACCGTAAGGGTCAGGGCTGTATCCTCCATATCCGACGTCTCCCTGCAGAAATCACATATCATATTCATGGTTGTTGCTGTTGTGGGGGGGAGGTGCTGACTGTGCTCTGTTGCCTATAGAGTTGTCTTTTGCTATTACTGCGTACACTATCTCCCTGTGATAGTGTGGTAGTATAGACACAGTTTGTCCTTGAGAAAGCACAAACAAAATAAAATTTAAAGTCTCTGTGGCACCTATGACACGACTAGGTCTGCTGGCAGTGGTGCCTTACCAGCTTGCTTGCCAATATGTATTCACTTAGTCATTTACAGCCTCTTCTGCAGTCACTGATGACACTATGAACTGATTTACCTAGAATCACAGTACTACACTCCCTGGTTGACCTTTATCACAGCCGTGACCACAACCCAATAAAAAAGTAAAATAAAAGCTTTGATATATGGCAGTGATTTTGTGGTTATAGGCTTCGTGACCTTGGCTGTACCTCCAACTCGGTGGAAATCGAGTTTTCAAAAATACAATCGCGTCTAGCATTAAAAATCCTACATCGATTTACACTTTCACGTCACGAAGGCGATCTCGATGTTCTTATGTAATCACTGTCCAAATTCCTGCCGCTCAACATCGAAGGCCCAAGTGCCAAACACGCTTTGTTAGAGACGGAACCGACCCGCCCGCCCGCCCGCTTATTTCACCTAGAAAGAACTCAAACTTGGTGCCGTCATAACACTGTCCTGCTCATCACTTGTCCTAACCCACATATTGAATTTCTTAAGTTTCTTTATCAACCGTTGCATGGTTCATGTATAACAGACTCCTTGTATTCCTGGAGGCACTGGGTTTGGTCTTGGTATATAAAGTATTTATCGATCAAATGGTTCACTTTACTGGTTATGATAATTAGCAGTTAGGCTAGTGAATACCCCCATCTCCTCCCTCGCCAATCATAACTACTGTACTGGTAATAAATTCTAATTTGTCTTTAGCCATTAAAAAAACTTGATTATTGTCTTCTGAAACTTTACAAAATAATGTACTCCACATGAAGTAACAATAATAATATACTGTCAGCTACTCATATTTAAGGAAAACTTAAAGCATAATTTATTTTGGTTTAAAGCCAAAGGGGTACCAGTCTTAATAGGTCACGACCTAAACTAACGGTTAGGATTGGGACCTATTATACCTGAAGCCACTTTGGGATGTTACCTTTATTCTAATATCAGATTATGATAAAAATATAATGGTTAAAACTACTACATATACTAGACTGTTACACGAGCAATTAACAAAGATACATATGAAGCATTTGGGGCAACAGAGGCAAATCAACCAACTTTGACCTAACTGATGCCCCCACCCCCAAAAAAAAAAAATATATATATATCAGTTTGAAAATACACCAAATTACCTATTATTTGACCAGTTTCATTCTTTTTGTATGACGTGTTACAGAGATACACACTCTTCTCCTATCTCATAACATGGCTGGGGTTGATTTCTCTCTCTTAATCCCATAGCTTCATACAGGGAAGACCATATTACACTAAAGTTATATTGTTTTATGTACTTCTACTGTCAGGGTTATTAAGTAGCTTCCACCACAAAACTCTTAAAAGAAAATAACATACGTATCTAAACCGCTTTGCATTTATGTATTATCTATTGTTTGTTCCCCTGCTGTTATGTGAGGTGGATCAAAGAGGTAACGGAAGGTGTATGGGAGGGGGGGGGGGAGTAATAAGAAGGTGGTGTAAAAGAGTGTAGGAAGTAACTGATAAGGCTAAGATAAAAGATATACCCTACTTGCTCATGGCTTCTACTTGCATACACAGTATACAAAGTGACATTCTACATCAATTTACTGTACAGTGCATCATTTTGTTCATTAATGTTATTAGTTTTACAAGCGAAATACAGTAACAAAAATCAGTGTTTTCAACTTTTATAAAAATAAGTTATGTCTACTGAAGACAATCTGTTGACCAATTGCTATTCAAATAACAGTGAAACCAACTGGTATACAGAAAATCTTCTTACATACAAATGAAACCTTATAGAAAATGGTCATAAACAGACTGTCTTACAAAGAAAATGTACACAACATACAACAAAATATAAATTTCTTAAAAGATAATTTCTGTTCAACTACCCATTACATACAAGTAATCTCTGTCAGTTACCTTGTTACTTTCTGAGGTATCGGCCAACTTAAAATACTGTAGGAGGGTTCTTGTATGAAGCCTAACTTCTTGTTCACATGTACACACTCCTTGCTTGATAGGAAGACCAAACACTAGACTCATCACAGGCACAACAATGAGCCCTGACCTAAAAGCTGAGAGAGAGAAAGAGAGAGAGAGAACATCTTTCTGTTTACTATAGAATTCTAACATGTCATGTGTGACCTATCAGTAGACCATTATAAAGTCTGTTGGCTTCTAACTACATAAACACAAAGGCTGTCATTCTTAGTCCACTAGTGGTGTTTCTCTAAGGTACTTCTCACAAGAGTGTACCATCTTAAGTCACCAGGTGTCAGTAAATGCCCGTGTGTCAGCAATAATGAAAGGATGTTAGCAAGTATCTGAAGACATAGTCAGCAAAGACTTTGTGTGTCATTATTCACCAGAGGATGTCAGTAAGTGTCAGCAAAGATTAATCAGAGAACGTTTACATGTATCTACAGATGAAAGAAAAGACAGGAGAGGTCACTGTGGTCATCACCTGGCCCATCAGTAAGTCAAGACATGTCCTTAATTACCCACTGAATGTCATTAATAACTCATCAGTTGATGGTGGTCATATGTCATTAATAAATACAAAACATCAGCAGCAGAAAGGTCTTCAGCAATCACTCAAAGGATATCAGTAGTGCCAGCTGTGACATCATCAGTCAACAACAGAGGCAGTGGTGGCAACAGAGTTGACAGCTCCACTATGCAGGAGACTGACATCTGTGCGTGGGTCATATGTCGCAGTGCCCATCTCTGTGGCCATGCGACCTCGTAAGTGGTACACTGATCGACGCACCTGTAGCTTCACCTGAAAAAGACAGATGTTAAGAGACAGGTGTCAAGGCAACACAAACCCCTGAAATCTAAACCTAGAACCTGGTCCAAATTTCACATTAAAACAAAGGTTTGGTTATACAGTATTTATCGATATTGAAAGAATTCACGAACGCAAAATTACATTAGGTTAGGTTGAGACAAATTATGGCTCGGTCCACTAAGCCTACTCTTCCCTGACTCACCTCCTTGTTGAGGAAGCAGTAGACAATGGCCACATAGAAGCCCTGGAGCCCATCAAGACCCATCGCTATGAACATGTACACCTATAAAACAAGAAAAAAGTGAATTTATATTTAAAGTATTATATACTGTACACTTGAACCTAAATACTGTAAATTAATTAATAATTAAAGCACTGTAAAGATTTATAGACTTAAACAAATGAAGTTGTTTCAATACAATAAATTATTGTATTCACTCCTGAAGAAGTTCAAATACACGGGATAAACTTCAGCTAACATAACTGAAGTTATCAACACAAAACCAATTATATTCAAAGATAAAGTGTGAGAGATAATGACCTGCATGGTGGTACAGGTGTGGGACTCTGATGGGATGTAGAAGGTGATAAAGAACTGTAGACCAAACATGGGGAGCAGGAATGCCGTGGCCTTGACTGCAGTCCTGGGTGGTGGAGGGGTAGACAGTCAGCACATGAACTGGTACTTAAATAGACTACATTAACTGGTACATTGTATCATGTGGTACAGTCACAGAAAAATGATTGGCTGCCAGTTTTCCATCCCAGTCATGAACCCTGAGACTTATGAACCTGTGAATTCGAGACATCACATATTGTTGGGTTCATATGTAGATGGTACACTGTGTGAGGTCTCGGATTTGCAGGTTCATGGATGGGACGGAGCATCGGCAGGCATTTTTTTTTCCGTTACTGTACATAAACTGATGCAAGAACTGGCAAAAACTGATACTGTATCCGATTGAAAAGTAAAACCTACATTACGTAACCAGTAGTTTTCAGAATTATTATGCTACAGTTATAGATACCTTTAAAAATTTACTACAGGCATAGGAAAAGGATGTAGCAGAAAACATGATTATCCACAATGTGAACAAATTCTAAAGTTACAATGACTGTTTACAAATATGAAATCATAGTCAATAACCCCGTGTGTGTGTGTGTGTGGCAGTGACTATATGGTATTATAATCCTCATATAATAACCTGGTGGCGGTGGAGTTGTCGTTGTTGACGCCCCTGAGCTTGGTGAGGAGGACCCGGGTTGTGTTAGCTAGCAGGACAGTGTTCACCTGAGGAAGATGAAGAGTCACAGTGCTTAATATTTTGATATGGTAATGTTGATCCAAGAAGCATTTAACATTACTTTATTGCAGGATGTTAAACGACAGATGAAGTATACTGTACATAAGTGTGTTTACTCACAATAATTATGAACATCTTGGGTAGCTCTGTGATGAGGAAAAGGTTGGTGGCATTGTTGGCATCATCCCCCAGCCAACACTGGTAGTCCTCCAGCACCGCACGGCACACGGCCCACACCACACTCAGCACCACCGCCGGTACTGTGGGTCAGAGAAGGATGTTCAAGGGCCAACTCTTGACACATTATGTATCTCATTGCTATATAACTGATACATACTAGAGATCAGAGATGTATCTACAAATCTTATACACTAGCACTACTTGTATGAATGAAACATACAGTACATCCTATTTCATTCATTGTGTTTCTGGCAATGGCAAGGATTTACACAACACACACAGATATACAGCAGTGTCTTATTTCGCGTCTTTATGAGTCAAATCAAAAGGCTTAACTTGAGCTAAATATTTTCATTCCACTTAAAAATAAAAATACTGTAATAAAAAAAATATCACCAGCATTACACAACAGCATCCACTTACCCCAACCAATAATGAGATAAACGTAAGTCTTGCCCCCACCCTTGAAGGCGGCGACGATGAGACGGTGAAGATATATGCTCTCGGCTAACATCCAGGTCCACACAGCCAGGCCGAACATCTTGGCCAGGAACACCAACAACTTACACCCCCCTGTGTTGTCATCCACTAGGGTGTTGGTCTAAGGGGTGAGAGGATACACACATTGAGACTTACTAATCCATGCTACCTGATCCAAGAACCTACACAAACCCTTAGTTAACTTACCTAATCTAATGTGTTCTACCCCAACAAAACTTAACTTTATTAAATCCATGGATATGATATGAAAATCTAGACCCAAGACTATCATAACCCACACATTTTTATTAGCTTTATCAACATATGATTGCTTTTAGTGTTAATACTGTATACGTGAAAGCTATATATACTTGTACACACACACATTATATCAGAACACTTGCCCCTCAACACATACACTTTCCCCACCCCTCCCCTCTACACACACAGCCACTTACCCCAGTATATTCGGGTACCCTGAGGACAAGTGCATCGAGGAGGTTGAAGAAGGCTTTACCGAGGAGGGCAAAGAAGAAATTAAGGTGTAGATACATCCTCTGAATACGTAGCTGTCTGTAAACACCACCAAGACCAACGCTGTTACTGTGCATTCTTTTACAGTTGACATCACATTTATAAGTGAATTTGTCAATGATTTATTCCTTCAGTGGAGAAAAATCATCAGTTTCTGATTCATTGGCCAATAAATATTTGGGGGTTCAAATTTGTGTCCAGTAAAATGAGCTGAAAGAAAGAGGATGAGAGAAGATGGCAGGTAGGATAAGGAAGTAATGCAGACTAACCTGTAGAAAAGGATGAAGTAGATGGCAGGTAGGAGGATGAGGAAGATGGTAGGTAGGATAAGGAAGTAATGCAGACTAACCTGTAGAAGAGGATAAGGAAGATGGCAGGTAGGATAAGGAAGTAATGCAGACTAACCTGTAGAAGAGGATGAGGAAGATGGCAGGTAGGAGAGTTAAGATGGAGAGGACATGCATGGAGGCCTCCCAGTAGTAGTTCGTCAGGTGGTACTGCTTGTGGCTGCAGGAGGAGTAGTCGGTGAGCTCTACGCCATAGCTGTCTATTGCCCAGGTGCCGTTCTCCCAGCACTCTTTCCTCCCCTCCACTGTAATAAGGAGTACACAGTTATTCAGTATCATGATGGTAATGTTGACTTATGTTATTATAGTACCATGTGTGTGTGTGTGTGTGCTGATACTCACTTGCACACTCTGGGTAGCCCTTGTAGCCGATGTGTGGACAGGTGAAGGTGACAGTGCTCCCAGGAGGTGTGTCAGAGAAGCAGGTCCAACCGTCCCAGGTACGCGGACAGTCCCCCGGGTCACCTGAAATACGCAGGTCATGTTACAACCTCCAGGTGAGCCAGTATGACATCATTGTGTTTAGCTAGTGCTGTGAACCACCCAGGGGGTCTGCAAACTTCATGAGGTGTGACATAGCCTGGCACAGCGTAACTGACTTTTTAAATATTTCAAATAACTTTAATTGATTCAAAGGTCATTAATTAATACTAATTACTCGAATTTTTTAATGGTGAACCCAGATCCTTAATCAGCATGTAAAGTAGTACTCTTGTATGAAATTTGATCAAAATCCATGGTATTTGCCAACCCTACACAAAGGTCAAGGACAAAATAAACAAGATGCACATCTAAAGTACCGAATCTGTCCATAACATATACAGGTATTACCTTCAGTCACAAACAGTGACAGACAGATGAGTAGTACTTCATGGTATATACTGACCTGGAAGATCATCCAGTGCTTGTTGGCAGCAGGTCATGGCATCCCTGCAGCATTCCTCTACCTTGTGGGCCTCCAGTACATCCAACATGGACTCCACCACGTACTCCCACGCCTCTGAGTCAGGGTTGAAGTGGTAAGTCTCGTTCTGTCGACCAAGTGTCTGTTAGTGGCTGTGCACTGTACATAGCGAGTGGTCCTAACAACATAGCCCCTCTCCCCTTCAGCCACATCTTGTTAAAACTACATTGAAAGATAGGAATATTTTTCTCTGAATACAGTATAAGAGTTTTATGGGAAATTTTACCAGAAACGCCAAAGATCATTAAAGCTGGCTAACCATTTTTGTAAGAACCAAGTATCTGATGACAGTCTTAGTGTAACTCAGATTCCAACAGTATTCCAAGCGAGGTAATGATACTGAAACCCCTTATTTGAGACGGAACCTCTAGATATAATACGTAAGATCGTTGTACAAGTCTTACAGGTCTATTAGCAAGATTCACTTTGTCACAATGAACCCTGACAACGTTGAACCACTGAATACAATTTACTGCATGTCTGTATGTATGTACTCACCTCGGCCTTAAACATGTAGTCATACAGGTGTTTGGGCTTGTTGTCATCGAGGGTAATCACCTCTCGCACGATCTGCAGGTTGTGGCTTCTCCTGTGGGCGGGAACGAAGTGGTAGCACCAGAAACACGTCTGGTTCTGGTAGTAGCTGTCCTGCGTCGGGTAGTAGTCCCTGATGCGGAAACCCATACGACACATGGGGTATGAGGACCTCGGGGTATAATGCTGCTCAGTCTTTTGATCCCCATCCTCTCCTAGGGGACCTGTAGTATAGACCACCACAGAGTCCTCTCCCTTCACTGCCTCCGAAGGGTAGTTGTTAGAGCTCCATCCGCCGTCACTGAGCTTCACCCACCATATCAACACCTGGGGAAATAATTCACTGTAGGTAAGTAGGTAATATCTGGTGTGGCAATTCCCGAACCTGCCTTGCCAGCTAAGAAGGCACCTAAAAGTTCTTAATATTATTCCCAGTTGCCACTCTAAATGTTGGTTGGTGATATGAAGAGAATACGGATGCAAAACTAGCTTCAATTTTGTCTGGTGTTAACTGAGACACCATACCAAAACTAAACAAGCAGTAGACTAGAAACAATACTTGCAAAATAAAGCTTATCCCCGCTAAAAACCCATTTCCAATAACAACTCTCACAACCGACATTACAATTCACACAACCTACATTACAAGAGCCAAAAAAATTACCCGTGGTCGTGAAAACTTGTCCCAGAGTACTGTATACTAGTGGGGCGTGATAACGTCAAGAGCAATACATGATCTCTCTACTTCAGTGTTATGGGGCTATTAGCCACGAGAAGCCTATAATACTATGTACAGTAGCTAAAACAACTATCTGTGCATACTTAGTGGGAAACAATATGAGAACATCGACGATAAATTTTGGTATATGAGGGCTGTCACTAGTCACACGTAAAATTTCGGAGCATATCGACCCCCACCTGCACAGATAGTTGTTTTAGCTACTGTACATCTTCCCATTCTCCCACGATGGTGATGCTGATGCTACTACAACTTGAAAAAAATCTCTCTCTCTCTCTCTCCATTGATCCTACCCCTAAAAGAGAGAGAGAGAGAGAAAGAGACAGGATAAACAGCATTACTCTCCCTTCTCCATTCCTTCCTCCCCTCTTCTCTCCCTCTCCTCTTCCTATCATACTGTCAATGAATATGATGTATTTCTTTGTGTGTGAACCTCCGTCCTGCGTGGCAGTGAGAAGTGATACCACCCTCAGTGTCAAGACCTGACTGAATTACTCATAATAGGCAAACTGTACTCCAAGCTTTGTCAATAAATTTATTAAACTAAAAAAACTTCCTACTGTCCAACCCTATCCTCTTCCTTCCTTCCTTCCTTCCTTATTCCCCCCTCTCTCTCTTTCCTCATCCCCTGATCCTCGCAACAAGAAATAGAGAGGAAGGCAGACAAGAGATAGAGAGTAAACAAGACTCAAGTGGACAGACAACTTAAAAAGCCACGTGTGCCACTTACCATCATGAGTGCCAACCACACAACATGGCACCACTCTCCCATGTTTTCCTGCTTGGCCCTCTTGCTACTGCCACTGTCGTCCTTGTTACTTGCATCACCCGTTAGTATTGCTACGTAGTTACTTATTCCATTGTTATTTTTACTCCTGTTGGTGTTACTTAAATTATTTCGCCTATATTGTTACTTTTTGTTCCTTTTCGTGTTACTGGAGCCCTTTAAATCCTATGAAAATAATCAACTTTAGTGTTACTTATCTAGTTTATTCATCACGAGCACATTGTATAATTTACTTTCAATTACATCGTTCAATTGTCATATTTACTTGCTTTTACACCCAGAACTCTACCTTATTCACTTTCAGAACTCATTTCACTCTCAGAAACCTTTACTCTTTTCACTCTCAGAACTCCTTTGGCGGTTGAGAGAAACTACTTCGTCACTCTTACACTTTATTACACCCGTTGTTCCGGTGGCTGAGAGTGAAAGGTAAAATATTTTCACTCGTTGACTCAAGCCTTTTCTGGTGGTTAGGAGTGAAAGGCTAATATGTTCACTCGTTCACTCCCACCACACGACTGTACTGTAAATCCACACGTCAATCTCTGAGCTCATGTTATCGTCTGGAGTGTATGTGTGTACGTGTGTGTGTGTGTGTGTGTGTGTGTGTGTTTTATAGGTGTCACTCTTTTACTTCACAACTCGCCGTCACTTATGTGGGTCACTCGGCGTATTTCTAATCTGATAAGTGATAACACAAGATAGTCACTTGTTGGAAAAGTTACCACGAACGGAAGACACCCATGCATTCATTTCCCCTTTCCAATCAAACAATCCGATCTTAAAATACCCCACTTTAACCTAACAATCATACGGTAGTTCGGTTTTGTTTGATTTGCTTCGTCAGATCAATTTATCAGCTCGTAGTCCGGTTCGTGGTATTTTTTTAACACTGGGTATTTTATGGTGTTGATATCCCAGCGATAGCAAGGACTAAGAGCGTCTTGGAGCTGATAAACACTCACACACTTATCACCTATTGTTATGTTTTTACGTAATACTTGACACCGTAATCAACGCACTCAAAACTTTAAGATAACAAATTCAATTAACTTTACGTATTTATCCTTACAAATAATCCGACTTTATTTAACCTCCTTTTAACCTAACCTGACCCTAATATACAGTAACCTACCCTAATATTACATTCACAAGGACAAATTCCATCACGAGGCCACAAACTGCTTTAGTCACGTTTTCTCTCGCTTGATATTATGTGAAGTTAGGTTGGGCTAGATTAGGTTTCTCGTCAATCATTCAATTTTCGACCATCACGAGAGATAACGTAGAGAGATTTATGAGCATAATTATCTTCTATACACATAAGCAGTGATGGCCGAGTGGTTAAGGCGTCTGACTAGAAATCAGATGGGATCTTCCCGCGTAGGTTCGAATCCTACTCACTGCGAGAGGTTCGTTTTACATGTTAGCTAAGAGGGTGTTTGAGAGTCTTACATTTATTGCCCAGTTGCTAGTCTATACACATAAGGTGTGGAGAATAGCTTGATTATAAGGTCATTGACTGAATGCTTAAGGTAGGTTACTTTAAGGTGGGTTACTTTAAGGTGGGTTAACTAATATCATGAGTCGTTTAGTATTAGGTGGGGTGGGGGGAGGTAAAACTAAGTTAGGTTATGTTTGGTTAGGTAAGGCTAGGTTAAATTAAGTTAGGGCCCAGATTAAGGAGTCCAGCCTTAATCTAATGTATATAACGAGACTTGTCAACAATGTGATTTAATTAGTAGCTCCACGATAATGACCAGCTGTGAGTAATTAATTATTAGCAGTGTCGAGCTTATCTGTGTTACTTAAAGAAGCTGCCACTCTTATACTGCGGTGTCTGGTTAAATGGACCCCTCCCCCCAGTCCCAATAGACCACAATCTATCAAAATTGGGGCCTAATCCTATTGAGGTCCATGTTAATGTGATCTAATCCTAATGAACCAATCCTAATAACACGATGTTGTTGGTGTGTGTGTGTTCAAAGTTGACATGACACTGATTTTTAGGTCCGAACACAATATAAAATGTTCACACACACACACACACACACACACACACACAACGAACCTTAAGACTGGATTATATTACTTAATACTACACTATTCAGGGCATCACTTAAGATTAAAAGCCTTGCGTGTTTACAAGTGTATTTCTACCTTTTATATTTTACTTGTACTATCCCTGTGTACTAATATAGCTATAAAAATGCCTCTAATCATCTGAAGAATAGCCACCCTTACTTATTTCACCTGATGATTAACCACCCTAACGCTAATTGAGGGGTCAGGTTGGGGTAATGTATGGTAGGTTAGGTTAACATTAGGATAGTTAATCTTCAGGTGAAATAAGCAAGGGGGTTAATCTTTAGGTGATCCAATGTTTCTGTTGACTAGTATTTAAGATACAGTAAATAATATTCATAAGTTTTTCTGTATCAACAAAAGTGGCAATTCGTATCACACACTTAACTCATCGCTAAATAAAGAACAAATTATAGTGATATGTTCAGGCCAGTCAAGGTCTTACACCATAACAGTCATCTCTCTCTTTTATCAAGACGTCAAACGCTAAATTATTTCCTTCTTCACTGTGTTCAATAATATCTAGAACTTGAAAAAAATTTGTGGAAATTTTGATTATTTTAGTTCACTTTACCTATCACTATCTGACGCACTCTTTCACACACGCGTTCAACTGCTGCGCTTCAATACCCTTCACCACCACCACCACACAGCCACTACCCCTGCCCGGAGTAATGACACACAGAGCCCACACTGTGCCCCGAGCCCACGTTGATCTGTGAAATATCCAGTTGCCAAGCGTACCCAATATCACTTTGTTTTGGATATCTAGGTTGTTACGTCATTCATAATAGTAAATGCTATCCACACAGTAGAACATACAAAAATAAGCTAGTCTGTTGAAAATAGCCCGACATACCTCACCCTAGTGGATAAGATAGGATAAATAGCACAACGAAATTCACTATCTATAGCAACGCCACTCACCCGACATTGAAGGAAGCAAATTATTGTACTAGGATAGGACTTTTTAAAGTGGATACTCTCCCTTGATGTTTGCTTATCTCGGTCAGCGAGTGCATAATGATTACTGTAGAAAACAGACTTGGTACACGTCGAATTTTTTGGGTAAGACTCTTGTATTATCTTAGCTGTAAGTCAGACAGCCCTTCACCCATGTTCTTTCACTCACTGAGATACACAGAAACTGCCTATTAATGCATTACACTGAGAAAAATTGACATACTTGACGTGTTTCGTATTAAATCTTACGAATTTGTTCAAGTCTCCGTAAGTGTTGGGATCATGAGACAACAGGTGATTTTGTCATTGCAAGTCGTTAATGTAACGCTATCGGGTAGTTACGGTGATATAACTACAATATCGTTAACTTTACCTATGTAATTTCATCTCGTTTATGCATGTTATAGAGCTCGTAACAGTGGTAGGTTTTATGTTTAGTTGAAGGGAAACTAATGTAAAGTTGGTACAAGTTCGTCATGTCATACAAATATACCGGGAGAGGTACAGACAGACAGGAGACAGATACACACACACAAACATACAGGGACAGATACAAACAAGGAGAGAGGCACACAAACGGATAGAAACACACAGGAACACAGACATACAGATACAGAAACATACAGACTCGGGGTCATTCAGATATTCATGGTCAACGATCATTAAACAGGGGATTTATGAGGTCACTTCTGAAGGTCAAAGAGGCGCGCGCGCGCACGCACGCACGCACGCACGCACACGATAATTTTTTTAAACTTTCAGAATATGGGCTTTTAAAACGTTCAGAATAATGACTTAAAACTCAGAATAATTACAGTACTTTTAAATCTTTCAGAATAATTACTTATAAACTTTCAGAATAATTACTTTTAAAACTTTCAGAATAATTAGTTATAAACTTTCAGATCAATTACTATTAAAACTTTCAGAATAATAACTTTAAAACTATCAAAAGAAGAGGAGGAGGAGGAGGAGGAAAAGTATCAGAATTAGTATATGTCTTTCTTTCACCCAACTCGGCCCCTGGGTCGTACTGCGGCAAAGAACAGTGGAGGGGGAGAACGTGTCATCCCTCAGGAGGTTATAAAGGCTATAATCCTATAATAAAGTGGAGGGAAAATCAACCTTATATGCTTGTACGCTAAGGCAAATTGATCTCATGCACCTGGAGTGTCAGAGCCAATCAACACCTGTGTCGTCATCAGTGGACATTATGGAGGAGGAAGGGGAAGGAGTCAAGGAGGTGGAAACAGAAGGAGGGGTAGGAGGAGGGAAAGGGGGGGGGAGGAGAGAAGAGAAGAGAAGGAGGAATAAGAAGAGTAGAGGAAGGAAGAGAAAGAAAAGAAGAAGACCCAGTGCGGCAGTTACTATTACTCCCCCTAGCACAAGCTATACTGTACTCTGTATGTGGGTGTTCGTGGTAAGTGTCTGACATCGATCTACCTAGAGTATTTACTTGGGTCACGAGAACGGAATGAAGTACATATTACGCCCAGACGTCTAGCTGCTACCACAACCAGAATTTTTTTCCTACCATACAACTTTTAATTCTGTTGGAGAGTCTTTACCACCCTGTGAAAAAATTTATAGAAAATAAATAAATAAAGAAAGAAAGAAAAATACAGGATTAGAGAGAGAGAAAGAGATTAGGGAGTAGCGTTCGTGCCTGCATCGAGGTGAATTCTCGGGTCCTAGGCAGAGTCTCTGTCTGATATCAATGCAGGTGTACCCTCTCTACTGCAGGACACACCCTCACACAAACAAATAATACTCTCTTTCACACACACACACACATATATATATATATATATATATATATATATATATATATATATATATATATATATATATATATATATATATATATATATATAGCCTATATATATATATACATCCATACACACACGCTGGTCACCTTACAAACATATTTCTCACTTAAGGTAACCTTAGGCTCTGCTATTCTAGGTGTGGTTTACATGTGGTTTACCGGTTTTAGAAGTATATATTTAATTTCTTAGGTTAACTAAAATAATTAATGATTTTCTCAGGAATAAACCCATAGGTGAATTATAAACCCCTCAGATAAACCACAAAGCACCACAGATAAACCACAAACACCCACAGATAAACCACAAAAACCCAGATAAACCACAAACACCCACATACAAACCACAAACCAAGAGAGATAAACAAATACCCCAGATAAAACACAAATCCCACAGCCAAACCATAAAACCCAATAGGACAGAGAGCTAACCACTGAACAGAAATCATGGTTTAAGTCAGGATCAAGATTAAAACAAAAATACTCCAATAATCTTAAGTTTAACCCATTAGAAACACGTATCATACATAAGGTATAGTCTCAAGTGTAATTCGAACGCCACCTTGGATTCCACACTTATTACCGTACGTCAGGGAGTTAAAAGGGCGATTTTTATGGGAGTTAGGAGTAAAACTTAACCCTTACGAACCTCTGTGGATTAGGGTGGATAGGAGGGGTGACCACACCTTGGCGCCTTTAACATGATGGTGAAAGACTTATTGATTTCGTTTTGTCTGTCACAGTTGGTGTGTGTGTGTGTGTGTGTGTGTGTGCGTGTGTGTGTGTATGTATGTATGTATTGTACGTATACATATTTGTGCATGTGTATTTATATTTATTTCCGTTTTAGTGTATGTTTGTATGTATCAGTGTATTCATAAGTCTGTCTAAGTCAAGAAACAAAATACTTGATAGAAAATTATTCAACAAACTCTCAAGTAAACAGACACATAAATTGACCATTAAACGAAAGATCAGAATAAACTATCATTAAAGGCACAAAAAACGAGATCAGGTGAGGTGAACAGGTGTTAAAATAGGTAGATCAATTAGTGCACCTGAGACAGAAATGATTATAGGATGAAAAAGGTTCAGGACTCCAGGTTAGGTTAGGTGAACAGGTGTTAAAATAGGTAGACCAATTAGTGCACCTGAGAAAGTGTTGATTAAAGGAAGGAAAAGGTTCAGGACTCCAGGTTAGGTTAGGTTAGGTTAGGTTAGGTTAGGTTAGGTCAGGTCCACAGGTGTTAAAATATGTAGACCAACTAGTGCACTTAGGTTAAAATCTCAAGGTTAATTGTCTACAGCTCTATAAATACGTTGACTGACTGGTTGATTGACAGACAGACAGGCAGATAGACAGACACACAAGACAAACAGACAGGACAGACACAGACACACAAGCTGGAGACGGACATACATGCAGACAGGACTAAAAACACCACCCAGACCTGCGTTTCGGTACACGTGGCTGGTATTGCCCCCTGTCCTTCACTTCTCTATGTGTACAATACGTCAGCTGAGTCTCATGCCAATACAGTGAAAAAAAAATGTTTTAATGCCAGAAAAATGTATCATCAGTATGTGAGAACGTGTGTACGTGTGTGTGTGTGTAATGTGCGTTTGTGTCTGCCTGTCTGTCTGTTGTGTTTCTTTAGTGTGTGTGTGTGTGTCTTTCTGTCTGCGTTTGTCTGAGTCTGACATGTGTAGGTCTGCCTGTGTGTGTACATATAAGAGTGTGTACGTCTGCCTGTGTGTGTACATGTAAGAGTGTGTACGTCACCACCACACCCACCTCCATTGATTACAAGAACATGCACCAAACTTCCATCATTATTTTACTTCGTCTCACTCAGTATGTCTGTTTATGTCTGGCTGTCTGTTTATGTCTGGCTGTCTGTTTATGTCTGGCTGTCTGTTTATGTCTGGCTGTCTGTTTATGTCTGGCTGTCTGTTTATGTATGTATCTTTATTTGTCTGTATCTGCCTTTGTATCAGTCTGTCTGGGTCAGTGTATCTTGACCTGGACCTAGTCTGCCTGTATCTCTCTTCCTTCCAGTTCTTCTCGATATTTTACCACCAATAATTATGAACTCAAATCACGCACGAGAGACAGACAGACCGAGAGAGAGAGAGGCAGACCGACAGACAGACCGAGAGGCAGACCGACAGACAGACCGAGAGACTGGACCGCCTGTTGCTATCCGCCGAGAAAATGAAATAACAGAAATATATATATATACAGTACCCCATCCTTCTACCATTGTTTACGAAATACGTCACGAAGCTACCCGTACAATTTATCCATCCAATATATTAAAACCTCTTTCCAGCCATCAATTTGAACCCGTCATTGTGGACTTAAAAAAATTCGGAAAGGAAAAAGTTTGATAGAAATTTGGTGTTTATTTTTATTTTTTTCTTGTTTCTTTGTTTTGTCATCTTGAAGTGGCAATGGTAGGTGTGTGTGTGTGTGTGTGTGTGTGTGTACTGCCGCAGTGACACAATGGCGCCAATCACACTGTCTAGGTATGCATTATTTTTCTCGTTTTTTTCAATTATTTCTATATTATTTCTCGCTATTATACAAAAGGTTATGATTCAGTCCTATTACTCATTAACTAGATAAATAGAACATAGCTGGTTAGTAGAACGGAGGAATTCCTAGTATGTGACTCATCCACGAAAGCCAGCCCTCCCATTTAAACTTAACTATGAAATAAAATCTAACTAATCTATATAAAAATACTCTTATCTTGAAGGAATCTATTAATATCAAAGGAGGAGTTGTATCATTATTAAAATGGTTAAATTATCAATGTTAAAAAAATAAAATGTTTGGGAAAATGCATGGCGCGCGCCCTATTGATTTCTATCGTGGTAGCCTGGCTCGCGGGGGACTCGACTAGGCAGCGGGGCTCACTCCATAAATTCGTTGCATTCAGGCACAGGACTTCAGTGTGGCAGGAGCGGCCCCCTTGATATATCCGGTGCCTCTGTGAAGTTTTAAAACTCATAAAAAAAAGGACACACACACATACACATCATGCGCGAAATCGTCCACATCCAGGCGGGGCAGTGCGGGAACCAGATCGGCTCAAAGGTAAAAAAAATCCATCTCGCTAAATTAAAAAAAACACCACAACACCAAATTTCTTTCAGCACGACGAAATACTTTTAAGTCAGTGACCAGCAGAACATTTTCCTCTCTTAGTAGATAATTCACGATGTACTGAGCTAAAGAAACACCAGTAATCACATAAATTCAGCATTTTAGTTTCAGTATTAATTAAATCTTAAGTCATTTCGCTAATCAAACCTTCTGATATTTAGTTAGGTGTGTGTATGTGTGTAAACTTGCGACACGTTTAAGTCCTTGTCACAACATCTTATACCTTACGAGGTCGTCTTAACAGCTAAGACCTATTATAACTGGGGCCCTATTAGGACACGCTCCCTATTAGAACTGGGGCCCTATCAGGACACGCTCCATATTAGAACTGGGGCCCTAATAGGACACGCTCCCTATTAGAACTAGATTCCATAGACAAACAAACAGTCAGTCCCACCTCGCTGAATGGTGTCTCTCTCTCTCTCTCTCTCTCTCTCTCTCTTAAAAATCTTAGGTCTTAACTCTCTCTTCCTCTCAAACACACTCTCCCCTCTCTTAACAATCACTCTCTCCCCTTCTTAATACGTTCCCCTCTCAACACACACTCCACCTCTCAACACACACTATCTCCCTCTCAACACACACACACACTATCTCCCTCTCAACACACACACACATCTCCCCTCTCACACACACACACACACATTATCTCCCTCTCAACTCTCACACACACACACACACACACTACTCTCTCCCCTCTCGCGATACAGACTGTTGCACGCACAGTCTTTTACCCACATACCTAACTACACAAATCCTGACTCCATACTTCCATCTCTTATTACCCTGAACCAATGAATTATCCCGTCAACGCTAGTGAACAAAATATACCCCAGGAAACAATGAGGATAGGTAATTATGGGGTTAGGTTAGGGAAGGTTTAGGGGTAGGTTAGGTAAGTCTAGATGAGGTCAAATGAGGTTAGAGGTAGGTAAGGTAAGGTTAGAGGGAGGTAAAGTAAGGTTAATGGCAGGAAATAGTGAGGTTGGGCTCGGGCTCCGAAACGGTAATTAACAAGTCCCATTAACTTCATTTCAACAACGTGTGTAAACTTACTTCACTGAGTACGTGGGGGTCAAACAGCTCCCTTCCCCCACATTCCCTCCTTCGGCAAATTTCCGTGATGAGTTCCAGAAGTTGTGTAGATCTGAAAGAGTGTTAAAAGGAGTTAAAATCAACATCGTCTATATACGTGCTGAATTGTATACTGCATTGTCTATATAGTGTACATGCTGAATTTATGTATACTCCAGTTTTATAAATTTACGTATAACAAAGAAAAAAAACAGTATAAAATAATTTATATTCATTGTAATTACTGTGAGAAAGTCAGCTTGGTAGACGCTGTTTATGGTAAGGGAAAATGGAAACATGGAAAACGGCGACTCATGTGGAGGGGAAACTTAAAAGACGTTTGGGCTGATCATACAACAAAACAGTACCTATACTTACTTTATCCTCTTCGCTACTGATCAGCCCGTTAGCCACTTGGGCAGTCGGTCACGTCTCTGTTACACACTATTGGCAAGTACTGGCTCCAGAATGTATCTATACCTGCTCCAGTGTTGGTTAAATCTGGTCTTGAATGAGCTGTCACAACACTGGCAGATTGTTCCAAGAGTTCACAATCCTCACTGAAAAAAATCCCCTGATTATTGTTTGAAATTGTGGCTTGTTCTATCTTAAGCTGTATGTATACATTGTTTGTATACCTTCGATGTCTATGCACATTGTATACCTGTGCTGCCTATGTGCATTGTCTATATACATGATGGGTCTATGTGAACTTCTACAAAAGACATAATTGAATATCTATATCTACCGACTACAAAGCTTCAATACTACAGTAATATCTCTCAAATTTTCCTTCATGTACAGTATATACATAACTAATATTGTATACTGTACTTTCGTGTTTTATAATGTTTAACAAATATCTCCAGTTTTAACACGATGCAACAAATTCCACCAGTATTAAGTGTGTTGACATTACGACACAACACATTCATCAACTCCCGTTAACAGAAAGCAAACAATTACCTCCTACTGTTTTGACAACGTTTATAAACAAGGTAAACTAAGATTCCTGGTAAGATTAGTTTACTGGTTTACCTGTGACACAATGTTAAATGCTCCCTCACGGCAGATAGGAATAGTTTGATTTACTAAGTTTGTGCGTGTGTGCCTGTAGTTGTTCCCGGCGCCATGAGTGTGACCATGTGTTCCTACGCGCTTATAGGTGAAGAATAAGGTGACATTCAAGTACTTCAGCAATTTCAACTTTCCTTTTCTGAATCATTATGAAAATACATATTGCATATTTGAAGTCAAGCATATAAATGCGGTTAAGTTTGTATTATTAAGTAACAGTGGTTAACGAAATAATTATTGTACCTTTCTTATGAAATTAATATAAAGTTTTATCTAATGACAATACCATACAATAAAATATATATATTATAATTATATATCGTAAATAATAATGCATATACTGTATATGTCTGGTAACGAACTTAAGTAATAAAAATACGTACTGTAATTTTTATATCAAACATGAATACACACCTTCAAATTATAACACACACTAAATATTAATTTGTTTTACACGCTCAAGTATCATCATCACTACAAAATAAGACATTATGAGGAAACCATTATAGGGAGGGAGAAGTAGGATCCAGTTATTAATTATTTAAGCAAATCGATTGACGTTTTCTACGCTGGCAACTGACAGGCGCAAACCCCACCCTGCTGTTGATGACGTCGATACACCTCATAGGTCCACTGGGAGTGTGTACAGCCCTCACAAAAAGATATATATCAATGACTTCGACACCTTAATGCAGTCGTATAGATTTTATAAACTGCTCAGTTGATTGCTTAAGTCAAAAGTTCTTAGATAAACGTTTCTTTACTTAATAATGACGTTTTATACATTAATTTATTAAATTCCTACAATTTTATATATCAGTTGTATTTCGTTGTCAATCGCTCAACTAGCCAAATGAATCAGCGAATTTTTCTACATGCGAGGCATTCTTCACTCACTGACTTGACTGAAAGCATTCCATCGTCATTCCACTGCACATAATTGGGTTATTTATTCAACAACATTCCTCACACATCTATGACCTACTTTCCTCACCATTACTCACGCCACAAATATGTTAGTGACTGATTTGACTACGGCACAAATACCCGGTACCAAGTTTGACAATAAAAATTCCAATGGTGTAAATCACCACCAGTCGATGCAACTTTAGTTCTTAAGCTAAAATAGCAATGACGTTCAATTCCTTATGATGGGATAATTTAGATAGGAAAAGATAAATACTTGAATATCTGAAGGTTAAAATGGTTCAAATATCTGTAAAAACAGTACTGGATCCACCAGTTACATTTACTTCCGTCGACAAAAACAAGCATTCTAATTATACCTAAATTCCTTCCTCTTAATACAAGACAAGGATTAATCACTGCTTATAAACACATACTTTGAATACCCATTAATCTCTACGTAGTGATAAAAGTTCAGTAATCCTCCCCCTAATAATTAAAGAATCCTCCTCGTTGTCTGGCGGTACGATAACCACTAAGGGAACTACTTAATGGAATATTCTACCTATGGCCAACCCTTTACAGATATCATACATTAACGGGTGAATAATTAAAGCCAACCTAACCTAACAAGAACAAACTGGAACTAGTGGGATTTTGTTTAATTCCACATCGAAAAAAAAATGAACCGCGGGGGGAATCTTGGAGGCTTCAACACCAATGTTATTACGTATTGACCCGGGTAGTTCAGGCGTCTACAGGTATACACACCAGCCTTCATGTCGTCGACACATTCCCGCCTGGTAAACGAAAGAGACGCAGTGATGAATATCCCGTGTCTGACGTTAACACGAATACCTTACGTGACAATGATTTTTTTTAGAGATCATTAATTTGATTCAGTTATTTTGTAATTATTGTTTGAGCATAATTGACAGATTTTCATATTTTTTTATTATTTTATATTTCTTGTAAATTGGGATCACATAAGATTAACCCCCAGTTTACTTCCCTTATTTAATGTATGTCCAATTCGCCCCTAAATTAAAAAAAAACTACCGAATAATTATAAAATAATGTAAACACGTCTCGTGATGTGTAACAATCGTGAAATTATGAATATTTGTTTGTCAAGTCATGCAACTGTTTTACTGCAACAGGTTAGGAGCCAATACTAGTTTAGACCCCCCCCCCTCCTCTTTCTTATTAATCGTTACCAGTTATTTAGCTTAGCTTAGGTTGGGTTGGGTTGGGTTAGGTTAGGTTGGGTTAGCTTGGATTGGGTCGAGTTGCTTCGCGTTAAGTTGGTTTATATGCCAGGTTAACTTATTTACCAATACAGTAGATAAATCAGCTTCCTAATATAACAGGTGTACTGTTATAAACATCAAGAGCTACAAGACCTTCCTAATATAGCATAATATATCATAAACTACAATAGACACCTTCCTAATACATCACCATACAGCAGGTAGCAGCTACATCACAAGTCAACAATCAGTGAGGGACAATGACCCTCTGGCACGAGATATCAACAGTCACGGAAAAAAAAAGGTGACAAATTATCTCACACCTAAACCATCTCACACTGAGGAAGCCACCATCAAATCTTTATTCTTTCCTTACAACTGTGACCTATTGGGGACTTCGGCATGACCTTTGACCTAAGTTAATTAATTTCGTGGATTCTAAGATTACAAGCTTTCGTGTATTTTTCTAACTAAATCTAATCAAAGAACACTATTTTTATTTCGCTGACCCACATTCCACCAAATCAGGACATTACAGCAGGGAGGAGCTAATTCTTGGTAGAAATTACTGTGTTCTTACCCAGGTAGTAAAATACCTTCTGGTAAGACGCCCTGGGGAGCTAA